TATGACGAAGAGATTCATGTATAATAGAAGCCCAAATCTGTTAATTTAATTTTCTCAAAAAATCCGACCTATATATGCGATTATCTTTGAATATATTGGTTTAATCAAAAAGTGCGCCATACATTTTTTGTTCGCCTTTTTATGACGAAGAGATTCATGTATAATAGAAGCCCAAATCTGTTAATTTAATTTTTCCAAAAAATCCGACCTTTATATGCCATTATCTTTGAATATATTGGTTTAATCAAAAAGTGCGCCATACATTTTTTGTTCGCCTTTTTATGACGAAGAGATTCATGTATAATAGAAGCCCAAATCTGTTAAAATAATTTTTCCAAAAAATCCGACCTTTATATGCCATTATCTTTGAATATATTGGTTTAATCAAAAAGTGCGCCATACATTTTTTGTTCGCCTTTTTATGACGAAGAGATTCATGTATAATAGAAGCCCAAATCTGTTAAAATAATTTTTCCAAAAAATCCGACCTTTATATGCCATTATCTTTGAATATATTGGTTTAATCAAAAAGTGCGCCATACATTTTTGGTTCGCCTTTTTATGACGAAGAGATTCATGTATAATAGAAGCCCAAATCTGTTAATTTAATTTTTCCAAAAAATCCGACCTTTATATGCCATTATCTTTGAATATATTGCTTGCATCAAAAAGTGCGCCATACATTTTTTGTTCGCCTTTTTATGACGAAGAGATTCATGTATAATAGAAGCCCAAATCTGTTAATTTAATTTTCTCAAAAAATCCGACCTATATATGCGATTATCTTTGAATATATTGGTTTAATCAAAAAGTGCGCCATACATTTTTTGTTCGCCTTTTTATGACGAAGAGATTCATGTATAATAGAAGCCTAAATCTGTTAATTTAATTTTTCCAAAAAATCCGACCTTTATATGCCATTATCTTTGAATATATTGGTTTAATCAAAAAGTGCGCCATACATTTTTTGTTCGCCTTTTTATGACGAAGAGATTCATGTATAATAGAAGCCCAAATCTATTAATTTAATTTTTCCAAAAAATCCGACCATTATATGCCATTATCTTGGAATATATTGCTTTCATCAAAAAGTGCGCCATACATTTTTTGTTCGCCTTTTTATGACGAAGAGATTCATGTATAATAGAAGCCCAAATCTGTTAATTTAATTTTTCCAAAAAATCCGACCTTTATATGCCATTATCTTTGAATATATTGCTTGCATCAAAAAGTGCGCCATACATTTTTTGTTCGCCTTTTTATGACGAAGAGATTCATGTATAATAGAAGCCCAAATCTGTTAATTTAATTTTCTCAAAAAATCCGACCTATATATGCGATTATCTTTGAATATATTGGTTTAATCAAAAAGTGCGCCATACATTTTTTGTTCGCCTTTTTATGACGAAGAGATTCATGTATAATAGAAGCCGAAATCTGTCAATTTAATTTTTCCAAAAAATCCGACCTTTATATGCCATTATCTTTGAATATATTGCTTGCATCAAAAAGTGCGCCATACATTTTTTGTTCGCCTTTTTATGACGAAGAGATTCATGTATAATAGAAGCCCAAATCTGTTAATTTAATTTTTCCAAAAAATCCGACCTTTATATGGCATTATCTTGGAATATATTGCTCGCATCAAAAAGTGCGCCATACATTTTTTGTTCGCCTTTTTATGACGAAGAGATTCATGTATAATAGAAGCCCAAATCTGTTAATTTAATTTTTCCAAAAAATCCGACCTTTATATGCCATTATCTTTAAATATATTGCTTGCATCAAAATGTGCGCCATACATTTTATGTTCGCCTTTTTATGACGAAGAGATTCATGTATAATAGAAGCCCAAATCTGTTAATTTAATTTTTCCAAAAAATCCGACCTATATATGCGATTATCTTGGAATATATTGCTTGCATCAAAAAGTGCGCCATACATTTTTTGTTCGCCGTTTTATGACGAAGAGATTCATGTATAATAGAAGCCTAAATCTGTTAATTTAATTTTTCCAAAAAATCCGACCTTTATATGCCATTATCTTTGAATATATTGGTTTAATCAAAAAGTGCGCCATACATTTTTTGTTCGCCTTTTTATGACGAAGAGATTCATGTATAATAGAAGCCTAAATCTGTTAATTTAATTTTTCCAAAAAATCCGACCTTTATATGCCATTATCTTTGAATATATTGGTTTAATCAAAAAGTGCGCCATACATTTTTTGTTCGCCTTTTTATGACGAAGAGATTCATGTATAATAGAAGCCTAAATCTGTTAATTTAATTTTTCCAAAAAATCCGACCTTTATATGCCATTATCTTTGAATATATTGGTTTAATCAAAAAGTGCGCCATACATTTTTTGTTCGCCTTTTTATGACGAAGAGATTCATGTATAATAGAAGCCAAAATCTGTTAAAATAATTTTTCCAAAAAATCCGACCTTTATATGCCATTATCTTGGAATATATTGGTTTAATCAAAAAGTGCGCCATACATTTTTTGTTCGCCTTTTTATGACGAAGAGATTCATGTATAATAGAAGCCCAAATCTGTCAATTTAATTTTTCCAAAACATCCGACATTTATATGCCATTATCATTGAATATATTTCTTGCATCAAAAAGTGCGCTATACATTTTTCGTTCGCCTTTTTATGACGAAGAGATTCATGTATAATAGAAGCCCAAATCTGTTAATTTAATTTTTCCAAAAAATCCGACCTTTATATGCCATTATCTTGAAATATATTGCCCGCATCAAAAAGTGCGCTATACATTTTTTGTTCGCCTTTTTATGACGAAGAGATTTATGTATAATAGAAGCCCAAATCTGTCAATTTAATTTTTCCAAAAAATCCGACCTTTATATGCCATTATCTTTGAATATATTGCTTGCATCAAAAAGTGCGCCATACATTTTTTGTTCGCCTTTTTATGACGAAGAGATTCATGTATAATAGAAGCCCAAATCTGTTAATTTAATTTTTCTTATAAATCCGACCTTTATATGCCATTATCTTGGAATATATTGGTTGCATCAAAAAGTGCGCCATACATTTTTTGTTCGCCTTTTTATGACGAAGAGATTCATGTATAATAGAAGCCCAAATCTGTTAATTTAATTTTTCCAAAAAATCCGACCTTTATATGCCATTATCTTGGAATATATTGCTCGCATCAAAAAGTGCGCCATACATTTTTTTTTCGCCTTTTTATGACGAAGCAATTCATGTATAATAGAACCACAAATCTGTTAATTTAATTTTTCCAAAAATTCGACCTTTATATGCTTGCACAAAATACACCTAAAAGTGTAGAAAAAAATTGACATCCCGATCCGAGTAGAGGAACACCAATTTTATGACCATAAAAGCGATTTTCGTAAAAAAAAAATTTTCAAAAAAATTCAATTTTTCTTAGGCACACTATTTTATTGCAATTTCTTGCACAAAATACACCTAAAAGTGTAGAAAAAAATTGACAGCCCGATCCGAGTAGAGGCACAGAAAAAACCTGAATTCAAATTGAGTATAGATTCTATACTCAATTTGATTCGCAACAAAAATGAAACTGGTTGTCTCATTTCGAGTTCTAAGGTAAAAGTATCAAAATGAAACAGGCAAGTTTCATTTTGAGAAAAAGAAAAATGGAAAAATATTGTGAAATAACGAATAATTTTGCACAAAAACATGAAATATAATAATTACAAAGAAGTAAATAACACGCTAGACTTAATATATTTGATTAAAAATTGCTTGTAATCGCGTAATAAAATAATAAAGGAAATATGTTTTTAGGTTAGAAAAATGAAAACATGTGTTTTGACAACAGGAACGGTACTGCCAACTTAAATAATAGCGGTAAATTTAAAAACTTATGAAATTAATTATTATCTACGTAAATAATAATAAATAATTTTTATTTAAAAACTTCTAAATATTCGTACTGGTCAAAATAATCTTTCTATTGTTGTTGAAATATTAGAAACAATAATTGAAATACAAAATTACTCTGCTTATGATGCCAACTTAGAAATCTGAAATTCCAGCCAATATCATTTTGAATAACATGAAGTTTGTCCCATACTCATTTCGATACCCAAAAGAAAATGAGTTGCAACAAAAATGAGTCCAAGTTTTTTCTGTGGGAACACCAATTTTATGACCATTAAAGCGATTTTCGTAAAAAAAAAATTTTCAAAAAATTCAATTTTTCTTAGGCAGACTATTTTATTGCATTTTCTTGCACAAAATACACCTAAAAGTGTAGAAAAAAATCGACAGCCAAATCCGAGTAGAGGAAGACACCTATTACCACCAAAAAGTCATCCAACCCATAAATCCAAAAACATAAAAAATTTCCCAAAAAAATTAAATTTTTCTTAGGCGGACTATTTTATTGCAATTTCTTGCACAAAATACACCTAAAAGTGTAGAAAAAAATCGACAGCTAAATCCGAGTAGAGGAAGACACCTATTACCACCAAAAAGTCATCCAACCCATAAATCCAAAAAAATAAAAATGTTCCCAAAAAAAATCAATTTTTCTTAGGCGGACTATTTTATTGCAATTTCTTGCACAAAATACACCTAAAAGTGTAGAAAAAAATCGACAGCCAAATCCGAGTAGAGGAAGATACCTATTACCACCAAAAAGTCATCCAACCCATAAATCCAAAAAAATAAAAAAGTTCCCAAAAAAATTCAATTTTTCTTAGGCGGACTATTTTATTGCAATTTCTTGCACAAAATACACCTAAAAGTGTAGAAATAGAAGCGCAAATCTGTTAATTTAATTTTTAGAAAAAATCCGACGTTTACATTCGATTATCTTCGAATCTGTTGGTTTAATCGAAAAGTCAAGTAAATAAACCACATCTGAATACTTTTTAAATTTATATGGAAACTAATACTTTATTGCAAAATTTGTTGAAAGATTGAAACACTTGTCTGTGATTTATATGGAGGAACATGTAAAAAATAATGTATAGAAATACTTTTAAATTAATTGTTTTTATTATTGTTGTATAACCTATTCTAAAAATATACAATCACTTTTAATCTGTAAGCATTCTTTAACAATTACAATTTTAAAAAGTTTTTTGGACAAATATTTTTATAATACATTTAGAGCTAAATTTGTCCAAAGTAGGAATGTGTAATATTTGAGGCATTTGTTTTGTGCAATTTTGCGTATATTTTTATTGTAATTATTAATATTCTAAAATGTAAACTGTAATTCTAATTTGAAATTAAATATTTCTAAACCACTATACTGTAACGGAGTAGCAGCTTCTTTAAGATGAAAATGAAGTTTTTTTCTTGTATGAAAATTTACAATTACACAATTTTATTTAACATTTACTACCCTGTATTGAATAATTTAGTTTTAGGGTATACAAATTTAGAAACGCCTCGTAGTAAATTAAAATTATTAAAGAAAATCAAATAGTTTAAAATTTTTTTTGCATCAAATTTAGTGCAAAAAATTTTGTTATGTATGTATTTTAAAATTTTTTAGAATGTAAATACATGAAAGTCTTATAAAACTATTTAATTACTTTGTACGCATCACAATTTGCAACTGTATACTAATATTGTTACTTATTATGTAAATTTTTTTTTAAACTGCAAAATTTCTTAAAAAACTAGAATCATATCGGTTTTCTAATGGACGGAATTAATGTAAATACCTTTTAAAATTATAAGAAACATACATAACAAAATTTTTATTCACAAATGTTTTTTTTAATATCTTTAGGAAATGGTTTTTGTTTTCAAAACTATATATATACTAAACCTACTGGAAGAGAATTTTTAATATTCACTAAAAATACAATGCTGTAAGAATATCTAGGATAATGATGATTATAATATTGTGAATAATATATAATATATTAATAATAGAAAGAATAATAATATGAGTGAATAATATTAACAAAAATGTTAGTTGCCATGACTCTTATTTTTATGAATATGAAAAAACTATATATTTTTACAGGCGTGCTTTTTTAAAAATTCTTCAACATATTAAATCTATGTATATATGTTCGTTGTGAGAGTAGCTTTTAAGGCGCATTATTTTAGTTTTGGCACTTTTATTATTTTTTTACATGAAATTGCACAAAGTTCTAACTTTAAAACTTTAATATCTAATTTATGTTTTTGAATTATGTGTATTAAGTCATTCAATATAATTTGTAAATTTTAATTAGTTTTTAGTACATTAAGTATTTATCTATCTACATAACTTATATTTTGAATGCCACTATAATTTGGCTGGATCATTGCCTAAATTGTAGAGGCTGGCGTGTAAACTTGATTTCCTTTTAAACCATCTTTATATGTATATTACGGATGACTTCATCATATCACTTTAACGGAATTAAAGTAATGGAAGACTTCCAATGACACGTAATTGACTTGATATATTTGCAATGTGCGTATATTATGTTTGATTTTTAATGAATTATGGCAGTGTTTAACAACACGAGTTTTTCAATTTATAGATTTATGCTTAAATTTTAATGGAAAATTTAGAATTAAAAGATGCACTGATATAAAAGTAAAATTATAGATGCATACAATTATAGTTATATATGCATCAAATCCTCAACGTTTTAAACGCTTTTCTATATGTGACCGTCCACGACAAAACAAGGCTTAGCTCCCAAAAGTAAATTTCACAGGGCAAGCGATTGAAGTAGAAGCAGAAACAAGGAACACGCTTGACATGCCCGTCTTTAGAACGTTATAGTGTCAAAAGTAATTGACATAAACAATTTCTGACTTTTGCATGTGAAAGAGCAACTTAAAATCTATCGATTAGCATGAAAAACTCAAAATTGATTTTTTGGGAGCTAAGCCTTGTTTTGTCGTGGACGGTCACATATAACTTATGTAGTTGAATTGATGAAATTTTTGATTTCTGTAAGTCGTTTAATAAAAACTTTTAATAGTTGTACATTTAGCATATTATGATCGGCAGTTGAAAAAGTTGAAATTTTGAACAGGAGAATAATGCGCTGCACCAACAAAGCAAATTATATTCAAGTGTTACAATCTGAAGTTGGTTTTTTTTTAATTTAGTTATTTTTTATTATAGCTAAATTTTTGTTTCTGGTTTTTAATATTAACTACCCAATTCCACGTTATTTTTGCATTTCGTGATGAATTAAATTCACCTTTTAAAGATAAAACTAAAAGAGTAGTAATTGTAAAAAAGGAAGATTATGTGTTTCATTTCTAATAATTTTATAACTTTATTTTTTTGAATAATTAAAATTCAATTCTAACTGGACTAGGCATCGTTTTGCAAGTTATAGCAATAGGATTTTCTTTCATTTCAAAATTAATATTAAGAGATATTTTTTTTGTCGACAATTTTTCAAAAATTGTTATTCCGTGTAAGCGTTTTGATTAATTATTTTTTTAATATATCATTCTACTATGTAGAATATCTATAGGTATTGTAAATATAAAAATTGTAGCGAAATGGATAATTTGGTTTGAGTTTATTAAATTTTTATTACTGCTACTTTGTTTAATTAATTTTCAGCAATATTGAGCGCGTCAATTGGTCCTACTGGTGGAAATATTATGAGACGTGATAAATAATTGGCATTATTTTCACCGATTATATTTCTAAATGACACCAAAATCCGTGTGTACAGTGACATCACAATTGTTTTGTTTTTCAGTTGCAGCCATATTAACTTCAACAAGTGTATCAACACTGTTTATAGGACAACCCTTTAATATTTTTTGCGCTGCTAAACTTTTAAATTGTACTTGCATATCACTAAGACTAGGATAACTGTATAAATCTCCACGACTCAAGCTTTTTTCTAAATTCGGCTCAGAACCTTGTGGAGCTCGTTTGGCAGACTCGAGATTTAATACATTATTAAAAGACCCTCCAATTCCATCGAATGACTTTGTTGGCGAAGGAGGATTTGATGAAATATTGTTTTTAGATCCGGGACGAAGGAGATTTTTATAACTTAGAGCGTCTTTCGATAAGGAAAGACTCAGTTTTTTCGAATTATTCATTGCGTCATTAGTATTTTTTGATGTATGCATTGTTGTTTCGTTAAAGTTTAATGGTGAATTGATGTTATTTGAAGATCCGTCAATTCTATGTTGACTGTTATTTAATCGATTTGTAAGTTTTAATTTGTTGAGCGCAACTTCTTCATCAATTTTAGGTTTGTTTTCCTTGTCCGATTCAGGAAATGTGGGTGGCGCATAGAGAGATGAAGGCCTTTCAACCAGTTTAATAGATTGTTTCCAGTCGTCTGATGTTCTTTTTGAAAACTTTACTTCATCTTCAGTTTTATGTGCCTCGAGAAACAATTCCTTCTCTGGCTTTTCTTTTGTATTTGCATCTTTTTCTGTTTTTGTTTGAGTGTTTTCAAACGTGACAACAGATCTTATAGGCGAATTGTTTTGATGTACATAGATTTTTGTACCTGGGGATCCGGAAATAGTTGTTGAACTAATGGCATTTGAAGCGAGCGTTACACTACTTTGAACAGTCCTTGATTCTTGAGGAGTAGCAGCTGGGCTGAGATTAGTGGAAACTTGAAGAGTAATCGAATTTTGAGTTTCTTGCAGTGGCGTCAAACTACCTTGTTGTTGAATAAGTTTAAGTGGAGAAGAACTTGTAAAGCTGGATATTTTCAGAGGTGGAACTGAGGTGGAAGATATTTTTCCGTTTGATGTACTGCTGGACGAATGACTTGATGTTTTCTGGATAATCTGTTTTTGAAAATAGTTGTAGTAGTAATTGTAGTTTCAATTTTATTTGCATACATATCAACTGGGATAACTAAAGTGACGAAATAGATAACTAGTAGCAATAGAGTATTATAGGACGATACTATTTTAATAGTAAATATTTTAAAAATGTTAATTAATGAAAGAAAATAAATTATTGACTCAAAAATACTTTGATCTAGAGTTTTCCCAGTTGACAAAAAATTAACTAATATTATTAAGGTATTGTCCATTTTCATACTTGTTGTGAAGTATTGAGAGATTTGGAACTACTGAAATCTTGACTTGGTCTCCTTGGCTTTGCTGATTTTGTTCCAATATTTGCAGATTTAGCTCTCACTGATCCAAAACTTCCGCCAATTCTATTGGGCGAACCGGATAATTTAATGTTTTCAGTTTTGTTTTCTGTTTGTTCTGTTTTTTGTTGCTGTTGATTAGATGGATGTACAGATGTTCCTGAAGCACATCTGCTTAAACTAGAACATTTTGATCTTGGTAGAGTTGAACATGGTGATCTATGTCGTCTAGAACTCCTGGGTGTTGAGTTGGCTAACAAACTAGAAGAATCGCCACTCGGCTGTCGACGATGTCGTCGGGGAAGCGTCGCTGAACGAACTGAACTAGAGTCATCCCATACTTGAAAACTAGCCTGATCTAAACCTTCCAATATCTAAGGAGGAAAAAGAGTTGATTACTTGAAAAAAATTGTTCATATAATGCATAATAATAATAATAATAATTAAAGTTTTTCCAAATAATGAATTATTTTATTCGTATATATTTTTTAATGACGTTTAATGTGACTTACAGAAGGACTGGCAGCTCGAGTTTGAGTTGCTACACTATGCAGATGAACGACTCGTGGATTGAACCATTCTGTTGGAGGATACTGTGCACTAAACGTTCCCATTATTGGAGTTTTCCTTCTAGTACTACGTCGAAAGAGACGAGAGAGAAGTCCTACTTTTTCTGTAAAATTAATATAATTGATTACTTTGATAAAATTATTGTACATTTCTCCATTTAAGCATATTTAAACTTACTAGTTGGACTGTGCGGTGTACTATCAGTGCTGGCATATTCGGCACTAGAGGAAGTATCACTTTGATCTGGCCTTCGAGGAAGAGATCTAGAACTTCCACTTTGATGGAGACGTCTAGCTGAACCCCATAGTCTTAGCGAGTGGCGCCTTTCAAGGCGACCAGGAACAGAACGACATCTGGCAAAAAGTACCTTGTCATTTGGATTACCTAAAAATTTTCATTAATTATTATTGCAATAATGTATAGATTCTAATTACATTTATGTAAACTTTTTTTAGAATCAACTCATAGTATTGTATCCCTATTTTTAATTATTAAAAGAAAATTGCGTTTCTAAGTGATGCAATAGCATAAGTAACATAAAAAAAGAAATAATAATAATAGACTTGATGATATATTTAAAGAAAAACAGTATACTTGCCACCACAAATTACGTCAGCCAAGTTTGTCTGCACTGCTTGATGTGTAACATCTCCATCCCTAAGAGTTATCATTTCACCATGAACTAGTGCCATGGCTTCATCATTACTCATCAACATTTGATTGGTTGTTGATACTTCTCTCGAGTTTCTTCTGACATTGTCTCGCCTAAGTCTTTTTGTCTCTGGAGTTACAACAAAATAGCCTTGGGATGTGTGATAAATCTTTCGTTCTTGCATTAATTTTGCTAAAGCATCGTATACAAGTTCTCGACTTGGTCGTTGCATTGTAGGAAATGCATTTTTCAATGCTGACCTGAGAGTATCAAGAGTCGCTGCCTGTCTCTGTGTAGTTAGTTCTAATATTGCCCAGCAAAGAGCTTCGGGTAGAGGTGTAAATTGTCCCTGAGCTACTGGAGCCACTAGACAATCGTCAATGTCTCCTGCAAAAAATGAAAAATTTATTTTACCAATAGATACTATTTTGTGTATTTTTGCAATTTATTTAATTTTAGCATATATTTATGCTATTTGAACTTCACACCTTCAACAGTTTGTTTCTTTCAAACAAGAATATCCAGAACCGCAGAGAAAAGAAATCGTTAACCGATACCAGGGTGACATTCAAGAAGGCATGCAGTTACCTTTCTAAATCTAAACTTCAACAAGTGTTCAAGTGTCTCAAGTTTCGCTGGGTGTTTCTTGCGTTATTTTATATAGTTACAAACAATATAGATGAGTACAAGGAGGCAGTTATATGTATACTGCAATAATTAATAATAATTAGCATAAAACTAGAAAATTTTTGATGAGGTTTGATACATATTTGGATTTTAATCTAACATAAGCTCTTTATATCGACTTAAATTATTTTAAAAATAGAAACGATTTATTTTCATTAACTAAAAGAATTAGGCATTTAAAAATTTATCAGAGATCGTTAAAACATTGTTTTTCTAACAATTGTTTAATTTATTTGTAGACAATGTTTTATTTTTGTTCTGATATACAAGTTACTTAATTCATGTCACGTCCATTTAATGCGACCTTCAATACAAAGTAATCCATACTTGCTTTTGGGCGTGGACCAAATTTCAAGGAATAAAAATATTGAGTCATACATTTTTTGCTAGTTTCTAACATATGACCATAACAGAACTTTTTATTATGTCTTATGTAATAAACTTTTTTCAATTTATTATAAATCTAATTTTTATTTTTCTTATATATATAAAAACCAATATTGTATATGATTTTTACAATATACCCTAATCATATTTAACAAAGTACAATAACATTATTTTTCTGCTTAAGAGATTGCACCTGTTCCAGCCTCGTGCTTCACATGTGCAGTACACCTGAGTTATTATTAGCTCAAACCAGTGCAAACCACGCGAGAATTTTACCTTGCTGCGATGCCTACGCATATAAGGATACTTACAATATTATTAAATGAAATTGAATTTTCTTTAATTTCTTAATTTCTACAAACAATCTACATTATTTATGTTATATTCTTTGAAAGGTTTATAACAAGTATATTCTACAAATTGGTTCAATATACTATTCCATAAAGCAAATAATTAAAAAAAGAATTATTTTGATATGAAGACAAATTATAATAACGATATAAATAATTATAATAAATTTGTAATAGTATAGGAAAAATCCTGTCACATTCTACAAAAGTATTAACATTTTCATACCTAATCTTTGAGCGCATTGAAACAATTGTGCTTCAAGGAAGTTATTGCAGCAATTTTACTCTTATATCAATATTTTTACAAATTAGTATAATCAGGAACAAGTATTTTCACAATAGATGTTTAATGTGTTCAGATTACACAATTTATTATTATAAATATACTGAAATACTAACCGACCATATTTTAAAAGCATCAAGCTAAAAGTATTTCTATAACGCACAACCATCATCTGATTTGGAAATGTGGACCAAGTAAAAGAGTTAAAGTTTTTAATTTTTTCACAAATTTTTATGATTCAACAAAAAGCTTTGGGAGGACTAACAAGAACCTATACAGGGTGTTCCAAAAGTATGGAAACTTGCAAATATCTCGAAAAGTACGCATTTTCGTGAAAAATATTCAAAACAAAAGTTGTTCCCAAAAAAAGATGTCCATTTTTGAAGCGAAAAAATTGGTCCCGGGACCCAACAGTAAAAAAAGAAGTATCACGAAAATGCGTACTTTTCGAGATATTTGCAAGTTTCCATACTTTTGGAACACCCTGTATAATTAAAATATTTCAAGTTTGTTGTAATATATAGAAATTTTCTTTTCTAATGCATTAAATGTAAAACTTGAATATACTTATTTATATTTATACTAAACTAATAATTTTTAGATTGACGAAATGGATGCGCGAAAGATGGATTTGGAAAGTGTCGACTTTCACTCGATTTCGTTGAATTCAGGTGCTGGAAGCGGATGAGAGTCTGGAATCAGCGCAACTGATCTTCTCACAGACTCTTTGCGATGTTTCACCTGGCATAGCAGCTCACCTCCCACCGCAATGGTCGTGAAAACTGTTGATTCTCGTGGAGATATATCACATTTAAAGACTTCCTCTCGAAAGTAAACGTTTGTCGTCGGCGTATTATTGTATAGCATTTATATGTTTTTTCCTGTTTCTTTTGATGACCTAGCTTTCATTATATCAACAAAAGTTTCGACAAATATTATGAGAAAAAAATAATTTTCTGCTCAATATACTAATAATTGTAATTACAGTAAAACGTACAATGTCGGATTTCAAAGGACCAGAAAAATATCAAGAGGATCAAAAATTTTTAATTCCGGTGAAAAATTATAATTTTTTATTATTGCTTAAAAACAATCTACTCGATTGAATATATCCAATATTATGTAGTATTCGTGGATTTATTTTTGTTACGGGTATTGAATTTAATTGTTATAAAATAAATAGAGCACCATTTTTTCGGCCTTTTAGAAACAAATAAGTTGAAACACACTGAGACAAGGACAAATATATATATATATATATATAGTAAAAGCATAAAAAATAAAAGAAATTCTTTTCTTCATTGTCCCTTTTTGCATTTGGACAACCATACATGTATGTTTTAATGGCTAATATCAATATTTAAGAAGACGAATGGGTTAACAAGTACATACATAAAGCTATATCTCACCAAGGCAAGTAATTGTGTGATCCGCAGGAGGCCTTAGGACATTTCGAGCCCATGCCGCTCTTAAGACTTCCAGAGCACATGGTGGCCCTCCAACCATCAGTACACCCGGTGACACATGACCTTTGTATCGAAGCTGACGAGTGGCATCTACTAATGCAACATTCCACCAGCATTTAGAATTTGCTTCCAAGAAACTCTACAAACAGGTAATAAAAGAAATATTAACTTATTACTGTAAAAAAAGTTTTCCCCATAAATATTTCAAAAGGTTAATATTTAAAAAAATATATATATATAACTCTGCTTATAAACAAACAAAAAATGGATTTTCCTCTTTGATTTCCACATGAAATTGTCAGGACTCGTATGTAGTTGATAACCTCGTCAACGAAACTTTCTCCATATTATATATCTTCCCTATACTTGTCAAGCGAATAAAAGTTGGATATGATTTATGTTTACTTCTTGCAATACCGTATGATCATTGGTCCAAATTTTAACAAATAGATTATTGTTTATTTTGAAGCTTCAAATTTAAAAAAATTAACAAGGAAATTCTTATATATTTTTTCCAAAAAATGCTAGTTTAGTAAGTTATTCTTCAAATAGATAATTGAGATTGCTAATTTTTGAGTAAATTTTGAACATTGTATATCTATTTTATTGGTTTATTCTCAGCTTTAATTTGTCGATATATCTAATTTTTGTCAAATTGATTGAAATTATTAATACATTTATAAATGACACGGCTTTCCCTTGAACCCATTTATGTTAATTTCTGCGTAGAGTGATACAAGGTAATATAAAATCACAATAAAAGGAATGGCCTCCACCTACGAAAACCGCGCGATCGACCTACTAGTTTGCAGTTTGCTGCGCACTTTCACTTTGCTATCACTTGCATGCAATGACATTCAGGATAATAAATGTAGTAAAACTTAAACTCTTTACAATAAAAAAAAACCACTGTCTCATCCTCATGGTAATTGTTTGTAAATATTTTTATTACGACTTTATTTTGAATAGATATTAATCATATATGTATCAATCTCAATTATTCCTTATCTGATCGACCTTTCGTGTACCCTAGATAAAAAAAAGAAATGAGGAATCTCACAATTTTGGTCATTTACATTCTTCTGGAATTTTTTTGAGAATTTAGCAGTAGTTTAGATTTTATCATTAAATTCGGAAATTTGAAAATTGCAAGAATTAGTTTTATGCTCGATTACTATTACCTTAATTTTAATATGCGTGGAATCACTAAACAGAAGACTTTATTCTCATTTGTTTACCTGGAATAGATTGTAGCCTTTATCATACATCCACATTTCATCAGCAGGATGGTCTTTTAAATAGTCAGTCCTTTGACCAGAATTAAGAATTTGGCAACAAGTGCCTCTCGTTAATTGAATTGCTAATGCTCTTTGCAAAAGTAAAATACACCGGGTAGAGCCTGGCCCTCCATCTCCCGACAAAGAGGCCATTTTCTAATTGGTTATAAACGTTTTAGGCGGTGGGACCGAATTCCTGAAACATTATAGAAAATATTTCTTTATAATGGGTATGATTTTACAATAGAAATATGTATTTATAAATATATAAAAAAGTAACTTTAATTTTCCTAGATCAAGAAAATATTGTATCAAATATTGACAAGCACATGGATGTTTTTGATTCAATACTATTTTTTTCCCAGTGTGGAACGTTAAGATTCAAATATAATAATAATAATAATAATAATAATAATAATAATAGCTATATTATGCGCGCGGTTCTTGACCTTGGCTCTTTCCCGTAGCATCATTTGATGCCCTTTCCAATGTTTCTCAGCAAGAGTTCTTTATGAACGACTAAAATACATATATGTAATTAATTGTTTTTGCTAATATCAATTTGCAAATATAATATACTTGCAGTTAACATTTTTTTAAGATTCTATTTATAGTATACCTAAATATTCGATATATTGGAGCATTAATTCTGTAGAAAAAAGTTTTCCGGTCAATCTAAAAGATGCTCCCCACATATACGTATAGGGGAGAGTGACAAACAGTGGGACACTTTTTTTTCAAAGACATATTGATGTGTCAATTTTATATATTTTTGAAGACTTTTTGGTATTACCATAAAGTTTGAACTCTCTTCTACGCAATGCACATATTCTATTAAGATTATATTGTGATTAAATAAACAAGTAGGGGGTCCTTTATGTTTATTTCATAAACATTATGCTTCCTCATTGTGTGAAGCAAAAAATTCGCTTCCTCGTGAAGGAAGCAATGAATTTGTCCAATTCAATTGATTCATTTAAAAACTTTCGAATTAAAAATGTTTTAAATTAATTAAATTTTTTGAAAAATAAAGAAAATTTTAATTAATTTTGAGTGTAACATAAACTTTATATATTAATTCTCAAATTTTAAATCAAATCTATACTTTATATATACCAACCAATTTGTTTCAATGCAGGGAATAAAATTATTTCATATATAAACATGAATTTAAATAAACACATCATTTTTTAGCTAAAATGAGAATTTTTTATTTTTTAACTTTCTTTAATTCTTTAAATTTCAATCAAATCTATACTTTATATATATCAATCGATTCATCTTGACATAAAGAAGACGATTATAATATATATTACCTTAAATTTTTCGATTTAAAAATTTTTTCAATTAAAAAAAATTTTTTGGAAAAAAGACGATAAAATTTTTTTTTTTCGGTATTTTTAAAAATCCTCTCGTCATTTTTGAGAGATTAATGTGTTAAATAAGCCTACCAAATTTTATCCAAATCCATTAAAACCTGTTAAAGATATCGTGTTCACAAAAACGATCCACACACACATACACACACACACACACATACACACACACATACATACATCCGGACAATTGATCAGGATCTCATATAACATGTTTCTATATAGAGGAAAATTTGTTTTCACCATTTTTAAAAAGTTTATAAACGAAAGGACTACATAGCTTCCTCCACGAGGAAGCAAAAAATTTCAAGTTTTTCAAATTTGATACATTTTTCTTGCTTTGAAGGTTAGTGTTAAACAGAGGGACACCTATTATTAAGTACCGAATAATTATTTCAATAATAATATTCTGCTTCAAACTTTGTAAATATATATATTTTGCATTAAATAACGTTAACAAATGTTGCAAAACACTCATAATTTAATAATATTTTACATTTTTATAATACGATGTCAAGTTTCATATAAAAATTGCTATTATTTTTTTTCACGTTTACAGTACTGCTGATCATACGTCATAATTTGATCATAACCTAAAAACAATTTGGAGCAAAATTTGAATAGTCGTTCTCTTATCAAGTGTTACTTTTTAAATGTTGTCGAACAATAATTGTAATAATTATTAATTATAAATTTTGAATTTTTTATTGTTTTTTAGCATTAAAAAATCATATTTTTAGTCGCTGTGTAGGTATAAATGCGCATTCGTATAGCTGACACAACTTATAATCAGTGTTGCCAAAATCCACGTTTCATAAACTTAAATTTTTGCCTGTCCCAGTGTTTAATGTCCCACTGTTTGTCACTCTCCCCTATAGGTATATGGTTGGGATGATCAGTACACTTTAAAACCAAAAATATATTTTTCTACTTAAAGTTGAGCGAAAGTATGCCGGATGCGTATATACTTTCATTTACAAGCTATATAAATTATACAAAGGATTTATTATTTGCACTCTCATTAGGATAGAAAGATTCAACTGTAGTATTGTAGATATTTTTTAGAAAGGTAAACCAAAAAAGGGAATCAGTTAGTGTAAAATAGAAAATGTGCACTTTTACGTATGTCTATGGCATTGAGCTCTCCTTTTCTTGTTGTTGTTTTGTTGTTACTTTAAAAAGGAAATAAAAGACTTTTCCTTAAAAACACGCGATCTTTTGTAATGACTATATTGTGTATACTGCCCGGTTTGCATGATAATTGTTGCTTAATTATAATCTGTTAGTCTGGAGCGCTATTCATTTTCGATTATTCATAAGGACCTATATTGCACTGCAAAAAGAAGGAAAATACATTGTAGTCTCTTGTTAATTGCTAAAAGCATAATCGATATTCCATTTTAAGATTCATCCAAAACTTGGACTCTCAAAAATTCTTACATATATAAAATGATACCTTCTTATTTTGAAAGTGTACATTTTTTTAAAATTAAATCAACAATAAAAATAAATTTTTACAATACCATAGCAAGTCGTCTTACTTTGATTTGTTAGAACAATTTTCCAAAAATTTAAACATAGAATGTTTTTTTATTATTATTATATCAAATAGGAAAGAGTCTTTAATTGTATCAAATAAATATGCAAATAAATTTTTTATTATTTAAACACCTTATTAAACATTTTGAAATGTGTTCTTAGAAAGGTAATATTGTTTTTCTGCAGTTGATGTTTCCAAATTAAAGAACAAGTTTGCATCCAAACATGGTAAGGTTTTTCGCATGAAATGAAGCACAGTTACGCAAAGAATTTGTCAAGGTATGACGATTCGTGTAAGAGCAATAAAGAAGAGCGGAATAAATTGGAGTGCATAACAAAATTGCAGTAAACATGAAATGCACAAATTAAGCAAGTGAAATATTAAATGCAAAAAAAGTGACAAAATATTGAAGAGAAATGTTTCGTAGAAAGAGGTGAGTTGAGAACCTCCATGATTCAGGTTTTACAGTCGATGCCGGTGACTTGAATATTATGGACTCAGTTTGGGTAGCACGAGATGGTTGCGCCCTACACCAATACATACTCATCCCGGCAATCTCAAGATTGTCTCAACACATATGCTGAGACCTGTTTTCACAAGATCTGTAGCTTCAGAAACTTGCATTGCCTCGATCATGTCGCGTCACTTCTCTTTGCATCGCAGTACATGAAAATAAAAAAATTTTCTTCCCCAGTTGAGATTTACAATTTTATGTATACTGCTTTTGACACTAAATGAAATGAACCAATGTGTGTTGGTCAATACCACAGGTTAGAAGAGAACATGGTGTGTACTCACCATTTAGAACTGATTCTGAAAAAATTTCATTTCATTGAAATATTCGGTTACTTGACTATTATCAAGAAAATGTTTACATGAAACAAATAAACTATTCATACCAATAATTTCCTTGTTTCAAACAAATACAATTCAATTGACTCAATTAATAATTGAAATAACTGACAGCAACCAAGTTTTTTTTCAATAATGTTTTTTAAAAATTGTGAAATTTAAGTAATTTATGTGTTCTCTGTAGATATGATACAATGAAAAAAATGTCAAAATGAGACCATTATGCTAATTTTTAGTTCCCGTATAACTGTTTGATGTTGCCGGAACCGTTAGAAGGCTTCAAGTATATACTGTGTAAATTACAACCTAGGGCTTGCAATGTAAACATTATTCTGAATGCTCCATTTTGGGTGCAACATGATGCAAAAAAAAGATATTGCTGTTTTTGAATACATCACGTATTCTTTTATTTATACACGGTGTAGGAGAGTATAGGAGGGTGTTGTAAAAAATATCATCAGGTATAAATTATAAAATATATCAAATGTTTTATAATTGTGCGTATGGATAGAAGAAATGCGCTCCAAAATCAAGTCCGTGAAACTTTGAATTTCAACTTTAAAATTTTACTGTTTTCCATGCACATTTTAAAGAGAAGATTTATACCTATATAAAAAAATATCCAATAAATTAGAATAGAAAATACATTTAAAAATATTTCCAATAGTGTTTTTTTTTTTAAACAAATTTTTAATAACTTTATTAAACAAGTATACGGACTTTTATCATGATCATTATGCTACAGCTCATGAAGGAAGCATTAAAATTCATGTCACTGAAGTTACCAACGTTGAATCGACGAAAAGAATTTTCCTTTTCCTAAGATTGAATATTTCCCCGCCTTAATTGAGCATTTTTAGTATTTAAAGATGTATTCGGGACCAAAATAAAGAAGTTTCAATTTTAAAAAATTGGTTCTTGGCCTTTAAACTAATCTGAAAACGAAAAATTCGTTCGTCGATTCGTCGAATCAACGTTGGTAACTTCAGCGTCATTAAAATTCTTTTATTTATTTTCATTTTTACAATAAAATACTTATTTTATAAAAAGAAAACATTAGAAAAACTGTTAGAGCGGTTTTAACCAAGAAATGGAAATTTCAATTTTGAGAAATATTAAAAATGATAGTAATTTTTTTAATTTTTAGCAAAATGTATCATTTATACATTATAAACCAATTTATTCAATTTGATGCAAGGAATACAATCGAGTTCTATTATATATTAATTTAAATTTAAATAAAGAAAAAAGTTTTTAACTTAAATTCGAATTTATGATTTTTTAATTGTGATTAATTTGAGAAATTTCTGATAAAAACTATATTTTTTATATTGACAAAGTTAATATTTTGTTGTTTTATTACGCAATCCCGGTCAATGAAATAAAAATGATTAAGTGTAATTAATGACCTTCATGAAAAAAGTTTCTTTATATGTTTATTCGTTTGAATGCATTCGACCATAACTTAGAAAATTGATTGAAATATAAGATTAAAATGAGTGCATGAAAAAAATTTAATTATTTAATTAGCCAAATTTTTGATAAATCGCGGCACTTTTAAGTAATAACCAACGAACTAGAACTGATTAAAACATAAGTGTTAAATTATATCTTTAGAAAATAATTTTGTACTCTGTAAATTATATCAAAAACAAGTAGTAATTTCAGATAAACTCACAAATCTAGTATAAAAATATATGAAAATAATGTAGAGTAAGAATTAACTGCTATTCGTTTGGCAATAGTGATACTTGTAGGTCTGATGTAAAAATCAAAATAAAATGTTGCACTAATTCCAAAAAATTCTAACGAATCCAAATGTGTATGTTCTACAAAATTGTCATATTTCATGGCATTAATTTTGCTGTGTTTAGAACACTGATGTTAAAAAAAATCAATGAATAATAAAGAATAATTTTTGCATATTGAGAGCATTTAATTAACGCAATATGTTAAGTAAAATTTGACGTCTTTATTAGTTGTAATTGAACTGAATTTGATATTAAAGCGCAAAAATTTTCTGCTTAATCAAGAGTATAGTGTGAACTAATTTAAAACGGCAAAAATGCACCGTGTACAATAATTCAAGTGTTTAAAACGAATAATATAAAATTTAATTATCGATCAATATTTAAAAATATTAACTATTTAATTAATGATTATTTATATACACACACACAAATTTGCCAAATAAACATTGAAAACTAATAATGGACAGAAAATATTTATTAGTTAAAATTGGTGAGCAATATCTCCCCAGATATTTTAGCACTTCTGAGTATTGCATTGCCTGAATTGTAATTTTGAGTAAATACAAGTACATAACATAAAAAATTACTGCTTGCCGAATATTTACAGTAGAATCTTTCTAGATGTACTCATTTCTTTGGTCTTTAATGACAACAATTTTAAGAGTTTGTGCTTGATAATGAGATTTTCTTGGTCCATCTAAATTTTGAGCATGCTTTATGATCATTTTTCTAATTTGGTGAATAAATTTATTCACTTCTTCTTTATTGTGTAATCATCTAAAGTGATATTTGTCATGCAAATAACTTACCAGGCAAAAAACGATGGTTGAGCAATCGTTTTTTCATACTCAATTATTTCCATTTGCCACAGGACATATATAATATTTTTTGTGTCACTTTTTAATTTAATACAAAGTATACATTTCTAATCACAAAAAGTAAATATCTGGCAGAGTGCACTTCTTATTCAGAAAACAGACTTATCTTTGAAATGTGGAATATCACGATTTTTTCTATATTAACCTCAAGATAGAAAAAATGATGGAGGTAGATATAAATTTTAAAAAATACAAAAGATATGAATGTTGAAAAGAAAACTAATATTAATAGTGACTGTTTTTAGGTAATAAATATCTGTAAATTAACCGGCTGTCGGCTTTAAACCACTTCATTATGTTCTGTATAATTCCACGTCCTATATGGAACTGGTTAAACCAGAGTTGACAATGACCCTACCTAAAGGCTACTGCGCTTGCGCTACGACAATTCTCTTATAGGCTGAAAAAAAGCGCGCTTATATAAAATGCTTAATAATAAGAATAAAACTTTAATAAAGCAATAAAAAAATTTTCACTATTGAATTTTTTTTTTGTTAATTATATTGCTTCCTAATAAAAAAAATATTAATTTACTTAATCTACTTAAGTATGTAAAAATAATGATAATAATAATAATAATTATTATTATTATTATTATATTAATAATTTTATTATATTTATATTATCATTATTATTTTTTTATAAAATATATAATCTATTATTATTATCAATTTCATATTTATTAATTAATTATGTAATATTTTATTTATTTTTGTTATTATTATCATTAAATTATTATTAATTAATTATCTATGATATATACATATATATATATATTTAGAAAAATTTAGCGAAATTTTTTTTGCACTTTTTTATGAGAAAAATTTGAATTTGGAAAAAAGTACAAAAAAAAATTCGATTTATTTTTTTAAAATATATAGATGTAATATATTCATAGATACCTAATTAATTAATAATAATTTATTGAAAATAATGATAATAATAATAAATAATATAATAATTAATTAATAAATATTATATTCATGATAATAATAATAGATTATAAATATTTTATTTAAAAAATTATGACAATAACGATATAAATATAATAAAATTATTATTATTATTATTATTTGTAAAAAATTATTTCTATTGAAAATGAATACTAAAATAATTAATACAAATTAATGTTTAAAAATCATTATTATAAATCAAAATAATAAATAATAATAAAAATAATAATTAGATATAACTTAGAAAATTTGTTTAAAAATATTTTCTTATATTAAAGCATTTTGTTTTTTTTTTTTTTTTTTTTTTAAAAAAAAGCGCCTTTATTGGGATCTGAAATACTGCGATACGCCATCTGGTGAGAGCCTCGTTGTGGTGGCCATGTTTTCATTCCGTGTTTCTCTAACATATACAAAAGAAAGAGATAAAAAACCAAGATGGTTGTCACAAGAAGGCTCAGGGGTGGGTCAGTTTCGCGTGATTTCTGATCCCACTTGCTATACCATATATAACGGTTACAATAACAGGGCCGTATGATAAGAATATTAATCGCCCATTTTACGAATATTGTATAAGGCAATTTCTGATCCCCCCCCCCCCCCACCAATTAATAAATTTGTCTATTTTTTTTAGTACAAAAAAATACTCTTTATTATTATCTTATACAAACGTGAAATAATTTGAATCATATAATATTATTATTATACAAAAATATTTACATTTTTTCTAATAATAAATGTAAAATATATAATAGATAAAATTACAAAAGAAATACATTCACAAATAACAAGTATAGAGAAGATGAAATTTTATAATTCGCCACCAGTGTGAGCGGCTTTTTTTGGTTTTTTTCTATTATTATTATTATTATTATTATTATTGTTATTTTGACTCCATTTTGTATCGCCGCAAAAGCAGGCATTTTTTTGTGCATCCATATAACTTTTACAACCAAGCGTTGTTGTACCGGCATAAAGCATTTTTGCTGCTGCATGTATTTATAACAATCGAATAATCGATTATAAATTCAATAACAATACAATAATCAATAATGAATAACAATCGAATAATCGATAATGAATAACAATCGAATAATCGATAATGAATAACAATCGAATAATCGATTATAAATTGAATAACAATCGAATAATCGATTATAAATTTAATAATAATCGATTAGAAATTGAATAACAATCGAATAACCAGGTCGGTCCGTCGGTGGACAATTTACGGATAAAAAAAAAACGATCGGGCTTTAAAGCCCAAAGAACAAATTCTATAGCGGGAAATTCAACTTTAAACAAAAAGATAAATAATTAAATTGATTATTAATTAATAATTAATTAATTTTCCAGTAAATATTATATTATTATTAAAAATAATATATTTAAATTATTTCTAGCTTAAAAAAAATTCTTGCGATGAGAAAATAATTTTTTTTGACAATTTTTTTCTGTAAAAAAAGTTTATTAAATAATAATTAAATTAATAAGTTAATTAATTTTTTTTACAGTGAAATTTAGCCAAAAAAATTATTTCTAGCCCAAAAAAAATTGTTGCGCGGAGGAAATATTTTTTTTTCAATTTTTCAAAGTAAAAAAAGAATTAATTACTTAATTATTTAATTAATTAGGTAATTAATTTTATGTTACAGTGAAGAAAATTGTTGCGATAAGGAAATAAATTTTTTCACAATTTTTCTCTGTAAAAAAATAATTAATTAACTAATTATTGATTTATTGAGTTAATTAATTTTTTTTACAGAGAAAAAGTGTAAAAAAAATTATTTCTAGCACAGAAAAAATTGTTGCGATAAGGAAATAAATTTTTTCACAATTTTTTCTGTAAAAAAATAATTAATTAAGTAATTATTGATTTATTGAGTTAATTAATTTTTTTACAGAGAAAAAGTGTCAAAAAAATTATATTTCCTTATCGAAACTATTTTTTTGGTATGGAAATAATTTTTTTGACTTATTTTCGCTGTAGAAAATAATTAATTGACTAATTAAGTAATTAATTCTTTCTTTACTTTGAAAAATTGCAAAAAAAATTATTAATATAATTACCTCATCGCAACAATTTTTTTTGGGCAGGAAATTATTTTTTTTTGACAATTTTTCTGTGTAAAAAAATTAATTAACTAAAGTAATCAATAGTTAGTTAATTAATTATTTTTTACAAAGAAAAATTGCCAAAAAAAATATTTTCTCATCGCAACAATTTCTTTTTCGGCTAGAAATAATTTTTTTGACAATTTTTCTCGGTTAAAAAAATAATTTATCTAAATAAATCAATAATTAGTTAAATAAATTTTTACAATACCTTAAAAAATAAAAATTTCAAATATTTTGTTCTAAATTAATATAATGAAGTTTTTAATTAATTAATATTTGTTTCTTTAACAGTAAATTGTTATTAAAAAATAATAAAAGTCATTGGAAAAATTTAATTTTTAACTTTTGGTCATGTTAGAGTACTTAGTCGAATAGCTCTTCGAACCATATCTTCAAAAAATTATTAAACTTTTAAATATTTTATACCATATTGTTTTAATTAATTTTTGAATTATTCTATGAGTTAATTCTTTATTGTTTTTCAATAACAAATTCAAGCGAAATGTTTATTGATAATTATTTGCAAGATTTTCTATATTTCTGTCTTCCCCGAAGAACTCTTTGATCGCCACCAAATTTCAAATTGTATACATAACCTAAGATTCAGCTCAAAGATTAATTCATTTTTCTTTTGCTCTATTTTAAAATTATCAAAGATTGTTTGTAATCATTCCATTAATAAAGTTTGCTTCTTCTGCATTTACAAATTATTTTTTCTGCATTATTAATTAATAAACAGAAGATTTAATTCTTTAATTAGGAATATGTGTTTGTCACGTGATGTGACGTCAGTGGCGCGCAAAAATTTAAAATTCAAAAAATAAAGTATCTGTTTAAAATGTATAAATAAACAGTATAATTTGTTTATTTAAGTTGTACATTATCTTATAATAAATTTTCTAACAATTATTTATTTTGTTATTATTTTATCCCAACTTTGAAAGCAAAAACCTATCCTTTGAATCCCTTCAAGTCAATTGATTTATATTCATTTTTAAATTTATTATTTAATTAATTTTATATTCATTTTTTTACTTAATCTAATAAAAATTTATGAAAAAAAAAATAATGAAAGTCACTGTTAAAAAATAAAATTTAACTTCTTGTCATGTTAGAGCACTTAGTCGAATAGCTCTTCAAACCATATATTCATAAAATTTAACTTTTAAATATTTTGTTCTAAATTAACATAATTCAGTTTTTAATTAATAAATTTGTTTCTTAAACAGTAAATTGTCATTAAAAAATAACAAAGGTCATTGAAAAAATTTTATTTTAATTTTTGGTCATTAATTGAATTTGAAAATAAATATGTGGAATTAAAATTTTGTAGACTTGGTTCGAGGAGTTATTCGACTAGTGCTCTAAAGGACAAAATACAAACTGTTTTATACACAAATCAACTCAAATTACCTCCTGACAAAATAGAAGTAATAGACAGCAAAATTTCTTGGGAAAATTCTGTAAAATTGCCTAGGTGTGACTACACATAGACAAAAGACTCATCTGGAATCATCATTCAACAGAAATGAAAAAAATTGGCTTCATTACACTACAAAAGTTAGGTCCTCTTCTCATTGTCAGAAATCCTTATCTTAGTATAAATCATAAAATAATGATTTATCTATCAGTTATTCGACCAGCCTACATTCACAACATTGGTACCCACCTCATTCAAAATAAAATAGTTAGAACCATAACTGAAGCACCCTGGTTTGTAACAAATATACAACTACATAAAGACCTAAACCTATCAAGTATACATAAATTTGGAAAAGAAATAGCGATCAATTTATTTCAAAAAGCTGAGCAACACGACAATAAATACATCTGAGAATCCGTCAATTATAACCCAAAGGACTGCCTTCCAAAATGTCGGCATCCACGAATGCGGTAGAATTACTAGACGTGGATCTTTATTAAAGTTTCTAATTACTAAGTCAATTCATAGGAAATAATAACTGTATACATTATTAGATCTCAAAGGTATAGATTACAAATTGCAATCACCTAGAAAATCTATTAGAGATCACAGACAGAATTACGTGTGTTGAAAAAAAATGGCCGAACGTGGAAAAGGTGGTAAAGTCCAACAAATGTTTTTTACGTTTGGAAATTAGAGTTCTTGATACAGTTTGTTATTAGGAAAAATATATTTATTTTTGTAGTATTTACAATGTTAATACGAATTATTGATTCCAAAGCAATATTAAAATACCGATTTTAAGTAATTAAGAAATACAGTTGCTTCAAATATTTTTCTTAATATCGGTAAATTTATTCCTAAGAGAAATATTTTTCAAAGCAGCAGTGTGAAAATTTTCTCAACAGCCATAATTTTGAATTAATTCAACAATTATTAATTGTTACTTCGATATCGTTGGATTTTAACCGATACGGATGGTATATGCACTTAAAAAAAAATTATATTACTACCAATATGAAACAGTAGGATAACATAATCTTAATTTACAAACAAATGAAACATAATTTTCAATCATAAATTTACAATTTACAAGAGTATTTTTTCAGTAAGAATTTTTTGATAAAATAATAAAAATTCTGCTTTAAATTTCTAAGTAACAATAGCCCTGGTACAATAATTTTAATTCATTCTAATTCTTCATTTAACATATTTTCAACATCATCCAAAGTAAATTTATCAAAAGAAAATTTTACTTTCGATTGATAAATCCACATTTTAATAATCTTTAAACTTTTATAAGCATCCGAAGATTTTATTTCTTGAAAATCAAAAGATTGTTCACTAATCCTATTAATTTGATTGTTGTCACTAATTTTTCTCTTATTATTCAAATTCAATTCTTCTCCACAACTATTTTCACTATCTGCAATTTGAACCTCATTAATTTTTTTTTCATCTCCTTTTTGTACACAATTTACAATATCATCATCTGACAATGCCTGCCAACCACAATTATTATCATCATTTTCATACCAATTGCGAAAAATTTTTTCAAAATTTTTCAATAAGTAATTACCCGATGAAATACGACATAAATCAATGCACAATTGTTGGGGAAATTTTACAATATCATTATCAAAATTTAAATGATCTGATGTAACATCAACAAATTCCAAATCATTAATTAATTGTTGAGAATTTTGATTTTGATTATTTTTTTTATTATTATTAACATGATTATTTATCATTATTTCTTGATTATTATCATTTGAATATAATAATTCACCCAATAATGATTTCCATACTTTTTTTAGTGTTGAATTATTAACAGATGTCCATGAATTTTTAAGTAAAAGAAAAGAATCAAGATAGTTGAAATTTTTTAAATATTCCTCAATTCCCTCTATTTTATCGGCATATAAAAGATTTCGTAATAAATTTGTTTTATAATATTTTTTAGTTAGCAATATTGGTTCTTGATTAATTGGTTGAATTAATGACGATAAATTACATGGTAAATTGATGACTTCAATATTTTTGTTTATCGAATTTAATTCATTTAATGCAGGATGACATGGTGCATTATCGAGAATTAAAAGAATTTTTCCTTTTATTTCCAATTCTTGTTGAAAATTTAAAGCTTGTGGAATAAATATTTCCTCGAACCTAAAAATTCACAAATTTTATTAAAATATGAAATTTAAAATTTTAATTTAAATTATTTACGAATAGAAGGAAATTTTTTTTTCTTTTTACCAGCATCTGAATATTTTTTGAGTCATCGAAGCATTCTCCTGATTTGTGTAAATTAAATCAAGATCTTGTAATTTTTTTAAACTCTCATTTTTTTCATTGACTATTAAATTTTTTAAACAATCGGGTATTTCTGTTTTTCCAATTATTAACAATGGAGTACGCATATTACCAGCGGCATTTGAGCAAAATAATGCCGCTATACAATCTTCTTCTTTTTTTTCATCATCATTATTATCATCATCATTAAAATTTATATTTTCATATTTTTTCTTTGACAAATTAGTTATAATAGAAGTAACGAGTGTTCGCCAATAAATTCCCGCCTCATCGGCATTATAAATATTTTCCAATAATAAATTTTCTGTTAATATTTTTTCCTGTAAATAATTTGCAAAATTGTCGACATTTTTCGAATCATTTAAATTTAATAATTGTTCATCGTCTTTCATTTCGGATAATCGAATATTGTATCTTTTTTTAAATTTTGTTAACCAACCACTGCTTGCCTGTGGAAAATAGGGAAAAAAAAATTTATTATTTTAAGAGAAAAATTATTTAAATTGAAATTCAAATTAAAAATATTAATATTAATAATTTTATATTAATAATTTTATTATATTTATATCATTATTGTTATTATTTTTTTATAAAATATATAATCTATTATTATTATTATTATTATTATTATTATTATTATATACTTAAGTATATTAAGGAAATTAGTATTTTTTTATTAGGAAGCAAAATAATTAACAAAAAAAATAAATTCAATAGTGAAAATATTTTTATATTACTTTATTAAAGTTTTCTTATTATTTAGCATTTTATATAAGCGCGCTTTTTTCGACCTATAAGAGAGTTGTCGTAGCGCAAGCGCAATAGCGTTTAGGTAGGGTCATAGTTAAATTGAAATATTTATAGTATAAACATAACCTCTAAAGATATTCCAAATATTGAATAAATAAAATAATTCCCAAAAAATTATAAACTTACTTTAAAATCCAATGGACCATTTAGTTTTTGATTTAGAATTTTTGCTTTGTCACGTATTAATGGACCTGTTATTGATTCATTTCTATCTCTTGATTGTTGAAACCATTTAATAACAGCGGCATCTAAATATTCATTTTTTAATTTTTTAAATAATCTACGATGTTTATTTTCGGGATTTTTTAATTTTTCCATTATTTTTGATTCGGTTCGTAAAAATTTATAATACGAACTTTCACCAATTTCATATTCATGTAAAATTTCTTCTTTATCAATGCCCAATTTTATTTTCTTTATTATTTCAGCTTTTGTCTCCATATTTAAAAATGTTTTTTTTCTCTTTCGATTCATATTTAATATAAAAAAAACATATAAAAAAATTACACACACACAAATTTTTAACTGCCCGACACTAGATTTTTTGTTAGTTTACACCATTGCGTATAGAATTACGCGCATGATTGTCAGGAAAATAAATATGTATATATCACAAAGTATTATAAGGAGCACTCACTCTATTGCCCGTTTCGGAAAATTCTGCTCACATGGTTTTCCGATTCAATTAATGAAGTGTCCCATAACGATACTAACAACTCTAGCGGGAAAATTAATTACTACAGGTCACGTGATTTTATCGTCTGCTATGCTTGAATGTTTGTTGATTGTTTACACTGTATTCAGCAGCAGTATTTAGTTCGGGCCGGTTTTGAAATTTAATTTTGATTAGTTTAAATAATCAGAAATTGTAACTTCGTTAATAAAAATCAATTAAAATTTACCCCAAATTATTTCATTTATTTATCATATTAAACTCAATAAAAATCATCACTTCACAAAGTCAACAGTCTTTATTTACGAGCAGTAGCAGACGATATTAGGCGCAGACATATTGTGAAAAACTATAAAGTACATAGCTTTTCCTGTAGAGGCGTCCTAATCGTTATGGGACATTTCTCTAATTGATTTGGCGAAACCGTGGCTATCTGCTAAAGTGGAGTGAGTGCTCCTTATAATACTTCGTGGTATATATCAATAACTAACATAACCTAAAAATTAAATTTCTTTTAAGAATAGAAATTCTAAATATTATATTATTATTATTATTATTAAATTAATATTAATTTTTGTTTATAAATTATTATTTTTATAAGTTTGTCATAATTTATATTTAAATTAATTTAAATACTTTATAATTTTTTTCTGTTTTCCGATGCAGGTAAAAACAACTGGCATTAGAAAACTAAATCGTAAGAAAGAAATAGAGAATTTTAATTTTTTTAAAAATTTTCTTATATAGAATGAAAATTATATATATTTAGAATAATTTTTTTTATAGGTTAAGTTTGATGAAAGTTGTTTTTTTTTAATTGTAAAATGTAGTTTGATGTCCAGTAGTATAGGAGAATTAGCGCGCGAAAATGATAGAAAATTCAAATAATCTAAAAATTAGTTTTTCTTTTAAATTTTATTTTCTTTTTTTTCTTACATATATTTATTATTCTTTTATAATACTCTACTTAGGTGGTAATTTTTTTCAAATTAAGATAAATGCCACCAATTGAAGCAGTTAAAACTGCTTTTGGATCTAATTTTATTGGAACAGAAGTTTTTTCAGTATCAATCGAAATTTCATATTTGGAAATAATATGAATAATTCCTAATTTCGATTGCAATAGTCCGAGACGTTGACCTAATAATAAAAATTTAATATAATCAATTACATAACCTCAAAAAAAAAAAAAATTTTTAATTTTTTGGTATAGAAATTTTTTTGTTATATAATTTTACCAATACAAATATGTGGTCCCTCTCCAAATGGCATATAAACACATGGTGTTAGAGATTTTTTATTCTCCTCAGAAAAACGTTCGGGATCATAAATATTGGGATTTGAAAAATATTTTTCATCACGATGAAGACCAACCATTGGTACAATTATAACGGTTCCTTTTTCAATTTGTAAATTTGTTTCAGGAATTTTATAATCATTCAATGCAACTCTATCAAGATATGGTAAAATTGGATACAATCTTAATGTTTCCGATAATACCATATCTAAATACGGTAGTGTCATAACCTAAAAAAAATCAAAAAATTAAAAAAAAAATTTTTTTTTACTTTTTTTTTTAAACATAGATTGCAAAAATACCATGTCATATGTTATTTTTCCATCATTCGCTTGCAATGCTTCTTCAATTTCAAATCTTAATTTATTTTGCACATCAATATTAACAGCCAATTCATAAAAGGCAAATGACATTGTTGTTGATGATGTTTCAAATCCACCGGTAAAAAAAACAGCTGCTTGAGATACTAAATTGTCACCATGAAATTCTGCGGAATATATTATATTCTAAATATTATATTATTATTATTAAATTAATATTATTTTTTGTTTATAAATTATTATTTTTATAAGTTTGTCATAATTTATGTTTAAATTAATTTAAATACTTTATAATTTTTTTTCTGTTTTCAGGTGCAGGTAAAAACAAGTGGCATTAGAAAACTAAATCGTAATTTTATATATATATATATATATATACATATATACTCACTAAAATTATTATTATTATTTTGTGACGAATCATTTTCTTGGCTTTGTTTTAATTCAATAAGAAGATCAATAAGATCATTTCTTTTTGTTCCTGATTTAATACGTTCATTAATAGTGTCCCAAAAAACATTTCTTAAAAATTTTGTACTTTTTTTTGAAAATAATTGAAAACCCAATATATCAACAAAATCGGGTATAAAAAATATTGTTGTAAATTCAATAGATCGTTTTATATTAAATGTAAAAATTTCTCGTCCACATTTACGAAATTCAGCATCGGGATTATTTAATGAATTCACTTTTAATCCATATGCTGTTGTACCAATCATATCGGTTGTAAATTTTGCGCAAACTTCTTTCATTTCCAATGAACAAAAATTATCTAAAAAAAAGATTGAATAAATTTATTATTATTATACCCATTATAGACTTTTTTTTGTTTATTAAATTACTAACTTTTTGATAATTGTGATTCTAAATGCATATCCAAATCTTTGCCAACTTCTTCCATTAGTAGAAACATTTTTTTTAAACGTCCCGATGTAAAAATTGGCGTTAATTTTGAACGTACTTGTTTCCATGCGGGATTTTTAATCATAAAAAGATTTGAATTACCAATTTTATCATTGACACTTGCACGCGAATAACGATCGCCAAATGAATTAAAATCTTTAATTAAAATACGTTTTATTATTTCTGGATCGCGTAACAATAATGTTGGTCTATCGAGTAAATAAATTCCCACATATGGTTGTCCTTTGGCAATATTATAAATTTTTTTAAAATATAAACCAGGCGATATTTTCATTAATAAACATTTGCCAAAATTTCCAACAAATGCACTTGGTTTTATTTCCATTATTCCTTTTTTTGTCCAATGTTTAAATTTTCTTGTCATATATAGATAGGCAATTGTAATTGTTGTTAAAATTAAAATAATTAATGGAATCAATAAATTTGATAAAATTGCCATTTTTTTTATTAATTAATTTAATTAATTAATTTATACTTAATTAACTTTATTTAATTACTTTATCTTATTTATTTTTAATTATTAAGGTAATATATATTAATTTACATAAATTTTTTTTACAAAAGCACAAACTTGTTTCTTATACGACGTCTAATGGAAAACTAAATATAAATTTATAAAAGATTGTAAAAAAAAAAATTTGTTCACGTGCTAATGTTTATTATATATATATATATATATGCTACTATATATAATTCAAGAATGTAAATCTTATGCTCACTTACATAATTGGTTATTAGTATGTATGATAATAGACATAACAATTACTTGGCAAAAATTACTAAATGATAAATAGATTTTCATTATGTACTTAGTAAACAATTTTGATTGATTTTCTAATCGATTATTCTTGACAAGTCATTTTTTATTATTTCTTTTTATAAAAATAGTTTTGCATTAATTTTTTTTCAAATCCGACAATTCTGAAAATATTTTTAAAATTTATAAAAATTTTATTCAATAAGAATTCTTAAATAATAATAATAATAATATAATACCAATAATAATAAAAAATAATTATTATATAATAATAAAATGCTTGGTCTGTCCTTCTGTCCTAACTTGAAGTTGGCCTTTTCTGATTTTACGTGTTTTTGTTTTGAATAGTAATCTTATGACTTGTCAAATTTTGACAATTCTTTTTCACATTTTTGCCAAAGTTGTATAATTGTGTTTCCAAATTTCGGAATAAGTTTCTTTAAAATTCCAAATTCGAAAATTCAATTCACGAAGCTGAAGTACACAACGTTTACCAACGAAATTTTTTTTAAAGTTGTATATTGATTCAAAAATTGTATACAAATACAAAAAATTTATGATGAGCAAGAAAGATGCGCCAGGAAATTTCGTACAAGATAGTAAATTTGAAAAAAATTTATTTTTAAGGTACCAGGGGCCAACGAATACCTATTAAATATTAATTATAAAAACACAGGCCTCGAATCAACTTAAAGACACAAAAAAAGTCGTTTTAGTCGATTTATATTCCAAAAAAAAGTGGATTTGTTTTTTATTTTAACAAAAATATTTTACAGATTTTTAAATAAAAATTATTTTTTTTTAATAATAATCCTTTTGGAAGGGTTAAAGTTGAAATTTTTAGAAATAATTAAATTTCAAAAGATATTGATAATTTCCAAACAATTATTAAATTTTACAGAACTAAAAATAGATTATCAAACAATTTTTGGAAAATATTTTTTAAATTTAATTGAATTTCCGAAGATTGAAAATTGAGATTTTTGAAATTAATTGAAACTTTAAGTGATTTTTAATTAAAATTTTGAGATGATTTCACTAAAAATTTATTAGAAAATGAGGACAAAATACAATAATTTGAAAATCATTTTTAATTGAAAAATGGTTTCAGATAGTTGAATTTTCAAAGAATATTATTAAAATAGTTAAAAAATAATTGAATTTCCTTAGAGTTATAGGTAATTGAAATTATTAAATTTCAAAAAAAAATTTTCGATAGAAAATTTTAAAAATAATTAAATTTTAGATGCTTTTATATTCAAATCATTGAAAATTCAATTATTTTTGAATTCAAATTTTTGAGAATAATGAAATTTTATTTGATTTTAAATTTGGAAAATAATAGAATTTCAATTCATTTTGAATTGAAAATTTTGGGAAATAATTAAATTTTAAATGAAATTTTGGATAATAATTTAATTTAAGTTCATTTTTGATTCAAAATTTGCATAATAAAATTTTGAATAGAAATTTTAGAAAATAATTGAATTTTATTTCATTTTAAATTGAAAACTTGGTAAATAATTAAATTTTAAATTGAAAATTTTTGATAATTATTGGATTTTTAATTGATTTTGAATTAAAATTTCGGGTAATAATGTTTATTTTGAATTGAAATTTTTAAAAAATAATTCAATTTAATTGTGATTTTTTTTTAAATTATAAACAATTGTTAAATTTCATAAAAATTTTAATTGAAAAATAATTTTTATATAATTGAATTTGTGATGTATTTAATTAAAATTATTAAAAATAATTAATTTAGTGAAGAATCATTTTAGTTCAAAATTTGTTAAATAATTGAATTGAAGAAGATCTGAAGAAGATCTACATTTTATACTAAAAAAAATGTATTTTATTTACATTTTTTTTCAAATGTAAAAAAAAATGTCGCATTTTATTAAAATAAGTCGATAAAAGTCGTATTATTGAAAAAAAGTCGGAAAAAGTCGTATAATCCGAGGTCTGTAAACATATAATTTTCATTATTATCATTTAATATGTAATAATATTCTAATAAATTAAATTATTATTGATAATATTAATCTTTAATTTCTTTATAACAAACAATTAAATACTCAATTTGGCGCGCTTGCGCGCGTTTAATTTTGCTAGTAATTATAATAATATAGTAATGATTTCGAGTCAATATAATATTTCCAAATCGGATATTAAATATATTATAATCACACTATAATTTTGCTTTTAAATTAAAATTTTTACTTTTTCTTAATTAAAATTTTATTATTTTAAAAAAATTAAAAATATTTTTTTTTCTAAAGAAAAAGTTTTTCCAACGTAATGATAGAATTGTTGGCCCTGAAAAGGGCCGATTGTTATATAAATATTAAAAATAAAGCAATTATAATTACTCTTTAAGAGTTGTGTAATTTTTTTTTTTTCTTCATTTTTAGAAAAATGGATCCGTTTTCATCAAATATATTAAAACTTTTGTACAATCATCCCATGATATATTCACTTTTTCAGCAATTTTTTGCACTGTTATTTCTTCTTGACTTTTCAATATTTGTCTCACTTGTAAAATTTTATTCATAAAATCAATATCACTTGTTTCATCAGATGAATCATTATCATCGTCATCATTATTTTCCATGTCAATTTTTTCAATTCCCTTATAATGCTTTTTAAAGATACCATAAACTTTCTTTTGTGACAATGTATCTTCGGGAAAGGCAATTTTAATCATTTTATATGTTTCTTTTGCGGAAAAATCATTTTCATAACAAAATTTAATGCAGACATACTGATCGTACTTTGAGAAATTCATTTTTTTCATTTTGAAAAAAGAAAATTTAAAGAAATAAATTTTGGTTTTTCTATATTATATAGATTTTTAAAGAACACTATTTCGTCGTATACGTACAATTTTCAACTGAGTGAAATTTTAATATCAGAGAAAAATATTATGTTTACAAAATAAAGAAGGTTTGTCATATAATAGGAAACGAAAATTAAATAATGGGAGAGGTGGGGGGGGGAAGTTCTGTTCACAATAAATCATAAACAGAAATAAGAAATTTTTTCTAGAAAGATTTATTTCTATTTATTATTTCAATGATTTATTTTAATAAATAAATTTTATTTGTAAATATTTTTTTAAAAAATATAAAATTCGAAAATTAAATTTTTTTGAAAGTTATGAATACAAGAGGGGAGAGATATGCATATAGGGAGATAAAATTAGGTCAAGAATTTTTTTTTAAATTAAATTATTTATTATCCTTGAGAAAAAATTATAAAAATAGAAGAAAATATGTGACGATTTTTTTTTTAATTTCAATTTTTGTAAAGTGTAAATTTAAATGTTTGGAATTTTCCTCAAATTTTGATATAGGCCTTAAAATTCATCGTCAAATGGATAATATTTAAATCCTTTGTATCTAAATAGAATTATTTTAAAGATTTTTAATTAATAATAAAATAATTAATAATTATTTTATTTTTGTTATTTAATATTATTATTATTGTTATTATTATTATTAAATAATTTGTTTAAAAATTAAAAAAAAAAATTTTTTTAAACTTACTGAACTCCAGGGCAAGTTCGTTTTCCACAATCAAGTTTATCAATTTCCTCAATTTCTTCAGACGTCAATTTAAAATCAAAAATATCAAAATTTGCCTGGAGATTTTTTTCGGAACTTGATTTTGGAATTGCGATTGTACCAATATCAATCTAAAAATATAAAAAAAATGATCAAACTTGATACAACTTTTTTTTTAGTTTAAAAATTTATTTTTATAAATTTGTTTACAACTGTAAAAAATAAATTTTTTTTTCTTTATAAATAAAACTTAATTTTAAAAATAATAATTATTTTTTTTACCAAATATCGAAGGGCAATTTGAAATTTTGTTTTATTATATTTTTTGGCCAATTCAAAAATAATTTTTACATCTAAATTTAATTTTTCCAATGATTTAAAACCAGTCGTTGAACCTGGTGTATTTGGCGCACCAAATGGACTATATGCAATAATTGCAATATTTTTTTCACTACAAAATTGACGTAATTTTTTTTGTATTAAATTCACATGACATTCAATTTGATTTATTGTTGGCATAATTTTTGCATATGACAAAATTCTTGTTATTTGCATTGAATTAAAATTACTTAAACCAATGCTTTTTGTTAAATTTAATTCAATACATTTTTCCATTCCACGCCATGTTTCAATGTAATCGACGTCATTCTGAAAAAAAGAAAAAAAATTTATAACTTCTTTTTTTTAATATTAAATTTTTCGAAAAATTTTTTTAAAATTAAATTTTATTTTTTAAATTTAAAATAAAATTAGAAATTAAGAAAAAAAAATTAAAAAAAAAAAAAAAATGACACGCATATGAGAAAAGGAAAATTATTTTTTTTTCACCGAATCACACATTGGCCAGTGAATTAGATAGAGATCGATATAATCTAGTCCAAATTTTTTTAAAGAACTCTTGCAAGCTTCTACAACTTGTTGCTCTTTATGATCATCATTCCAAACCTTTAATGTTAAAAAAATTATGATCTTTAAATTTTGTTTCAATATACAATATATTTTTATTTTATATTATTATTATTATTATTAACATTATTATTATAATTATATATTAATATATTTTAATTATATATAGAAATATACACTACTCGAATGCAAAAAAAAAGGGTCACCCATCTTTAAAGTTACCCATCTATTGTTGCTTAACCTTCGAATATTTTCAAATTAAATAAATTGAGGCATTTGAAAAATTTTTTTTATCATATATAGATAAAAATAGAATAATTTAAAAAAAGTTAATGTTTTTTTATATATAGGAAGGAGAGGGGTAAAAAAATAAATTAAATTTTACAAATTAAATTATTAGCTAAATAAATTAAATAAAATAATATTATAATATTTACTTTGGTAACGATAAATAAATCTTCCCGCTTTACAGTGCCATCTGCAATTTTTTCTCGTACTACTTTACCAATTTCTCTTTCATTCCCATAAACAGCGGCGCAATCAAAATGCCGATAACCAATATTAATTGCATGTCGAATTGCATTTTCAACTTCCGATGGATTATTCTAAATATTTTTTTTTTTAGAATCATTTTTATTATTTCTATAAATTTTTTTTTTTAATATTTATATAAAAAAAAATTGCTATAAACAATATAATTTTTTTGGTTAAAATGTTTTATTTATATATATATATATGTATATGTAGGTTATGTTTATAATTAAAAATTATAACAAGAAATTTTGAATTATAATTTTAAAGATACAAATAAAATATTATTTTTTTTTTTTGAAAAATTAAAAATAAAGAAATAAAATACATACAACACCCTGCCAGGTACCAAGTCCAAGAACTGGTGCTTTTATTCCATTATTCAATGTTATTAAAGGGACTGACATGTTTTTAAAAATATTTTAATAAAAAAAAAATATTTGGGGCTTTGAAGTAAGAGAAATATAATTTTTTTTTTAATTAAAAATTACACTATTGAATTTTAAAATACATTAGCAATAGGCGGTGAAGGAGGTTCTATCAAGACCAAGTCCAAGTACAAAACACAAGTGCAAATTTATTGTACTTGGATGCGCGCGCAACGTATTGCCAACTGTCGCTGAGGCGCAGTTGAAAATACTGGTTTGCGTCAGTTTCCGTTCCCTTGGTGCCGGCTCTTTAAATTTTTTGTTTAAAATTAAACAACGTGGGATTCAATTTTTAATTATAAATTAAATAAATTAAATATAATTGCTGCAATTGCTGGTTGCATTTAATTAAGTGAGGTAAGTAATCTTAAAAAAATAAATAATATTATTTTGAAAATAAAAAAATTGTGGGTTATGTGTACATAACCTATATGCAGTTTTAAAACATTGAAAGTAATTTTACATTTTTCACAGCGGAATAAAATTGTAATTGTTGACAATGACCACTGAACTCTATATATCTGGAATGCTGTCTGTCATTGAAAGTCGCGAGCCGAGAGAGAGGTCTGATTCCTGTATTCCCCTCTTTGTCGGTACAGGTCCATTAGAAAATATTTAACAGTATGTATACGTGAACATGACATAACACTTAACAGTAAACTTTTGGAACGTATTGTACTACGCCTGCGTAGTTTAGCAAGAGAAGGAGAGGGATACAAGAATGTGACCTCTCTCTCGGTTCGCGACCATCAATGTCAGACATCATTCCAGATATATATAGAGTTCAGTGAACGTAACCGGAATCCTAACCGCAAACGCAACCGGAAGAATGAGTTAGAGAAGGACAAACAACCTATCTATCCTTCTCTAACTCATTCTTCCGGTTGCATTTGCAATTACGATTCCGGTTACGTTTCTATTCTGCTTAGGCCTTCATTGGCAACTCTGTTGAATGGTATGTATTCATAGTTTCGGCTTAAAAAGAACTTTGATCGATTTATTATTTCAATGAATCGAGCTTAAGACGATAAAGGCGCTTGTACAATTCACAAATTCTAAGTATACTCTTGTCAAAATTTATACTAATTTTGATTGGCCTTGCTCATGGAGAATTTTCAAAAAATAAGAAAATTTCGAAATTCTCTATGAGCAAAGCCAATAAAAGTTAGTGAAACTTCTGACAAAATTCCGAGGATACTCAGAATTTGTGAGGGTGTATACAATCGTCTTAAGGGTGCATTCACACCTTATTTCGGAATTTTTATTTTTTTGAGAAAATTCTCCTCCTACTCTTTATATAGTTGAGGCTGTTCTACAATACTTTCTTTATATCGATAAATTTTATTATCCAGAAAATAAAATAAAAACAACGATGAATTATAAATTAAAATTTACTTAATGTCTTAATTACTTTTTTTTTTAATTTAAAAAATTAATTAGTTAGGTTTTATGATTAGGATATTTCTATTTTTTTATTACAGTATAACAATCAGAATACATTGTTTTTGAGTGCGGTAATTATATAAAATTTTAAACTAGATTTGCAATTTATTAAATTGATAGATATTGTCCCTTCTCTCCCTTCGTGCCATTTGATATTAGTTTCTTTTGTTATTTAAACTTCCACCATGTCGTCATTTTTTGCCTGAAAATAATAATAATAATTTTTACATTGTAACTTCTCATATATGTGATACTGGACAAATGTTCCAGATAAAATTCATTAAAGCTGTTTTACAATACTTTCTTTACATTGGTAGATTTGCAAATTTCCCAAAAAATAAAAAAAAAATTAAAAACAACGATAAATGAAAATTTAATGATTTAGCCCCTTATCTCCTCCTGAAATTTGAATTTAGTAAAAAGTGAGCTACTAATTTTACTAAATTTTTAGTAAAAAGTGACTAAAAATTAGTGAAAATTCTTTCTAATTTAAATTAGTAGCTGATTTTTTAGTAATTCAGATTTAGAGAGTCCCTTCTTACCTTTAGATATTCCATTTCTTTTCTACCTCGTCGTTTTATTTCCCTTGTATCTTCAAAAACCATACCATATTCATCTCCTGCCTGAACATAATAATAATAATAATAATAATAATAATAATAATAATAATAATAAATTTTAATAAATTATACTAAATTATAATAATAAAAATAAAATATAAATTACTACAAATAATATAAGCTTATATATTTATATATCGATTTATCGAAATGTTATATGTATAATATATGTGATGTATTCCACGCCAAAGTGTAAGTCCATCTGCAATTGCATTTCCGATTTTTTTGAGAATTTTTTTTCTTTTAGTACTAATTGAGACTAGCTTCCATGAATTTTTACAAATTTTTTTAGCAACCCGTTTTCGAGTTGTGGAATTTTAAAATTGGGGAATTTTCATGACTTTTAATTTTTGAATGCTCATAATTTCCGTAAAAATGCATTAATTTTAAAAGTCTTTTTTTCAAAATGTGTGTTTTTAAACGTACATTTCAAAAAAAATAGAAATTTTTTTTTTCAAACTATATTACTATCAAATTTTTGAGTTTTAATGATAAGGGCGCACTCACACCTTTTGGCTGCCTGCCTGCCTGCAGGAGTTGTCATGGCAACGTGTAGGAGTAACAGAGAGAGAAAATTCGAATTTGAATTTACTATCTCTGCTGTTACTCCTTCACGTTGCCATGACATCTCCTGCAGGCAGGCAGGTAGCCAAAAGATGTGAGTGCGCTCTAAAAAGTCATTTTTCGCATTTGACGTACTAATCGACTTTTTTCAAAATTTTTTTTAAAAAACTACTTCTTTTTATGAAATTTTTAAGCCTAGTCCGATAATGAACAAACAATTTTTACAATATTTTCGAAATTTTTCAAAAATTTTTGAATTTTTTAAAAATATTTTTGGTTTTTTTTTAAACTACGTAACTTTATGTATTTTGATGCGCTGATTACGAAAATCATAGTGAGAATACCCAAAAATTTGATTTTTATGGTGAAAACCATAAAAAAAGTACCAAAATTTATGGTTTTTTTCGTTTATTGGGTAAAATATGCAAAATTAAAAAAAATGCGTAAGATATAAAAAATGTATTTTAATAAGATTAATAACTTTTGTTTGAACATTTTTTTTAATTTGCATATTTTACCCAATAAACGAAAATAACCTATAAATTTTGGGTCTTTTTTTTATGGTTTTCATCATAAAAATCAAATTTTCGGGTATTGTCACTATGATTTTCGTAATCAGCGCATCAAAATACATAAAAGTACGTAGTATAAAAAAACCAAAAAAAAAATTTTTTTTCGCCATTGACATGAAAAAGTGTCTTTTTTGTGCCTGTTTTGGACAGATAAAGTAGCACTTTTATGGCGAATTCTTCTAATTGCCTACGACATATACAGGGTGTTCCAAAAGTATGGAAACTTGCAAATATCTCAAAAAGTACGAATTTTCGTAAAAAATGTTCAATACAAAAGTTGTACCAAACAAAAAGATCTACATTGTTGAAACCAAAAAATTGGGCCCTGGGCCCAATGTTGGGCCCTACAATGAAAAAAGTAGTTTTCTTAAATGAGACCACTAATTTTGAATATCAAATTCGTAATCCCCATGAAATTCTGCGTTCAGACATGTAGTATAAGTGCCGAAAATATTGGGCTCAATCGAAGATATCGGGCCCAACATTTTTCGACAAAGAAATAAATTTAAAAAATCGTATCTTTGGGGGTTTTTGGGGTCACAGGATTACAAAATTCAAAGCTACTTTTCAAATTGGGCACAGAGCCCAATGTAGGATTCCGCGGCCCGATGTAAGGCCCACAGTAAAAAAATAAGTCTAAATGCCAAAAATATTGGGCCCAATATTTTTGGCATTTGTACTACAAAACTAAATCAAAAATTTCATGACGATTACGAAATGGATACTAAAAATTAGTGGGTTTTATTTTAGACAACTAATTTTTTTACTGTGGGCTTTACATTGGGCCGCGGAATCCTACATTGGGCTCTGTGCCCAATTTTTAAAGTAGCTTTGAATTTTGTAATCCTGTGACCCCAAAAACCCCCAAAGATACGATTTTTTAAATTTATTTCTTTGTCGAAAATGTTGGGCCCGATATCTTGGATTGGGTCCAATATTTTGGGCACTTATACCACATGTCTGAATGCAGAATTTCATGGAGATTACGAATTTGATATTCAAAATTAGTGGTCTCATTTAAGAAAACTACTTTTTTCATTGTAGGGCCCAACATTGGGCCCGGGGCCCAATTTTTTGGTTTCAACAATGTAGATCTTTTTGTTTGGAACAACTTTTGTATTGAACATTTTTTACGAAAATTCGTACTTTTCGAGATATTTGCAAGTTTCCATACTTTTGGAACACCCTGTATATATATATATATATATATATATATATATATATATATATTTCTTTAAAATTGTTTCACTTTTTCATAACAATGGCGAAAAAAATAGCGTATGTGGCTCGCACGTAGTAATTTTTAGGTTCGGATGATTTCAATACTCGCTGTCTGTGCGACTTTGGTTCTACTTGGCTCGTCTTCGTCTCACCTACGTCGCACTAACGACAGCTCGTACTGAAAATTACATCCTCACCTAAAAAGTACTACTTTACGTGCTTGCCACATAATATACTATTTTTAATTCAAAATTCAAAGATTTTTTAAAAATTCCGAAAATATTGTAAAAATTGTTTGCCCATTATCGGGCTAGGCTTAAAAGTTATTCGTAAAAAGAATTAGTTTTTTTTTTAAAATTTTGAAAAAAACGATCAGTACGTCAAATGAGAAAAATTAAGACTTTTTTTCATTAAAACTCAAAAATTTGATAGTAATATCGTTTGAAAAAAAAATTTCGATTTTTTTTTTGATAAGTACGTTTAAAAACACACATTTTGTAAAAAAAGACTTTTAAAATTGATGCATTTTTAAGGAAGTTATGAGCATTCAAAAATTAAAAGTCATAAAAATTCTCCAATTTTTGAAAATTCCACAACTCGAAAACGGGTTGCTAAAAAAATTTGAAAAAATTCATGGAAGCTAGTTTCAATTAGTACTAAAAGAAAAAAATCGGAGATGCAATTGTAGATGGACTTACACTTTGGCCTGGAATACATCATATATATAACACAGATTTGCTATATTAAATTTTTTTTAAAACACCTTTTTTCAATATTGAAATTTATTTTTAAAACACTGTACCTCACTTGTTGTTGGCGTTATTGTTGTTGTTGTTGTTGTTGTTGTTGTTGTAGTTCGTCTTCTTCGACATGATGTGTGAATAATGAGACAACTTATTATTACAAGAATATAAAATGTAAATTTAAGAGACATAATTTTATATTTTTTGAATCTTTTTTTGTATTTTGAATCTTGTTGGGAAAATGAAAGAAAAAATTATTAAATTATGCGATTTTAATACTTTTTCCACAATTTATATATTTATATATACTACCTCCTTCATTAATAGATAAAAATAAGAAAAATTTTATATTATCAAATTATTATTACTATTATTATTATCATTATTGTTACAAATTCTTGTGAATAAGATAAAATTTTTACAAATAAATCACGTTTTCAACTTGAATATATACAATATTTATAAAAATAAAACGTGAAACTATGCAATAAAAAAAAATTAATTTAATTCTTGCATATTTTCACGTATTATTAAAATTTATTTATCATAATACACGTAATAAAAAAAATTTTTTTTTAATTAAATCATTATTGAAATTTACAATTATTTTTTGAAATTTTGCAAAAATAAAATTAAAAAACCCAAATTTGCAATCACAGAAAATTAAAAGGCATTAAAATAAGCTGCAACGCTTATTATTTTAATCCAATTTTGCTTATTTTAATCCATTTTGGTATTAAAATATGTAAAATTGGATTAAAATAATGAGCGTTGCAGCTTATTTTAATGCCTTTTAATTTCTTGTGATTCTATATTTTGGCACAAGGTTTTTGCATTAAGGTATACAAGTACTAATTTTTAAAAATTAATTTTGCCGCCATTTTAGCGGAAGAGGCGCCATCGTTTGAATGCAATTTTAAGGCCGGTTTATAATTTTACATATAATTTTTAAGGCAATTTTCGACATAACCTCAAAAATAAAAGAACGAAAAGGCGCGCTTTACGATTCATCAAAATTTGAATTTTTTTCCCTCCTCCCTAAAATCGTGAACCCACAAAATATTATTCCCTCATATCTAGTAATTTTTTTTTGGTCACATGCAAACCTGGAATACTCTTCCCCCAAAAATAGACAGGAAGAATTATTGCAGAAATTTTAATATATATATATATACATATATACCAACATATATGTATATATATATATATATATATATTTTCTTATCATTCAGGTGATCGTTTTTCATTCGTACATACACATTGAAAAAGAAGGAAAAACACAGAAAAATTAAAAGTTGAACCAAAAAAAAAAAAAAATTCGTGTAGGAATTTCGGGAAAAATTTAAAATTTTAAATAAAATATGCAATCCGCGGAAAAAATGTTAAGTCTAAAGTGGACGAGTTTTCCCTCGCAATTGGCAATTTCAATGGATACATGTTATGAAAAACAACAATTTGTCGACGTATCACTTGTATGTAAAGATGGTACAATATTAAAATGTCATAAAATGATATTGGCAAATGCAAGTACATTTTTTTCACGTCTATTAATTGTTGCAAATGATCATCCACATCCAATGATTATTTTACATGATATTGAAGCTGATGATTTAAAGACAATTATTAATTTTATGTATTGCGGTGAAATACAAGTTGTGCAAAGTGAGGTTAGAAGATTATTAAAAATAGCAAATATCCTCGAAGTAACCGGTCTTACGCAAATACAAACAATTGAAACAGGAAGTCCAATAAGTCATCAACATGATAGTATTTTTGAAACAGCTAGTGGAAGTAAAAATAATAATAATAATGGTACTGAGGTTATAAATTCATTTAATAAATCAATCATCGGACAAAGATTTGACTCAAGTAGTAGTAATAGTAGTGGGGGCACACGTTTTGATTCAAATATAACAACAACAACAACTACAACAATAAGTAGCAATAATCGAAATTACGAAACAAATAATAGTAATCCATTTGCTGGATCAAAATATGAAGTAAATTCACCGAGATATGATTATAATTCATCGATACGTTTTGATGGTAATTCAACTGGATTACGTTATGAAACAGGAAGAATGCAAATTACACAACGATTACCTTTAAGAAATAATAGAGAAATTTTATCGCCAAAAAAATTAGAAATTACAAATCGTTGCTCACAAGAATCACGTAAAGAAATAAGTACAGAAATTATACAAAATAATCGTTTACGTTTGGCTAAAGCTGGAATTGATATTCAAGAAGGTTTGAATTCAAATTAATTATATTTTCAATGTCCCACATAGTACGACTTCTTGCTATGAGGTTACTGTAAGGATATATCTGTAGGGGTTGTAAGATTACCGCGTGTAAGCCTACAGTAAACTTGAGATGATCTTAAAATTTTCACTATTACAGTAAGCTTACACAGTAAACCTAAGGTAAGCTTACACAGTAAGATTGTGGTAAGTTTACATGGTAAGGTTGTGGTAAGCTTACACGGTAAGGTTGTTGTAAGCTTCCCGTGAGGTTACTGTAAGGTTGCTGTAAGGTTACTGTAAACATAGAATGTTATTAATAAATAAATTTTATTAATATTTATGCGCAGTAGTTTTCTATAGAACATACGGCTGCGCAGTAAATTTTATTTAACAAACCCTATTGGGGTTTATGAAGTACTTTAGCAAATATATAATTTTAAAAAAAAATTTATAATATAATATATATATTTTAATATAATTATTTTTAATATATTTTCATATTACTCTATGTTTACAGTAACCTTACAGCAACCTTACAGTAACCCCCTACTGAAAATCCCTGTATAAGATCTTGTACAATTTCCTGTACAGGATCAGCAACTGAACTTGTACAAGTTCTGACCAGTTCCTGTACAAGAAAATGCATACGAATTTGGAACAAGTTCATATGTGAGATCTTGTACAAGAAAGATACTTGTACAAGAAAATGTACATGATCTTGTACAATTTCATGTATAAGTACTTGTACATGAACACGTTCATGTTCTTGCACATGTATAGTTATAAATTTTTTTTTTTTAATACAATTTGAGGGGCTGATAGTAAAAATGGTTTAAAATAACATTGGGAGCAAAAGTGGGATAAGTGACTTGGGAGCAAAAACGGGTTAAAATGATTCGTGTAATTTATTGATAAATTCATTATATTATCGATTAAAAAATATTAATTATAATAAAATATGCATTTTTTCCTATTGTTAATATTTTTTAATCGATAATATAATGAATTTATCAATAAATTAAACGAGTCATTTTAACCCGTTTTTGCTCCCAAGTCACTTATCCCACTTTTGCTCCCAATGTTATTTTAAATCATTTTTACTATCAGCCCCTCATTTGAGATTTTGATAATTTTTAACCACTAAGATTCGTACTCTCTAAATTTGAATCAACTAAAATCCGCTGATTGGCAGCGAATAGTCGCTGATTGAAAAAGCTATAAGTATATGCAGCTGCGAATCAGCGACTAACAACTATTTCAATCAGCGGAATACTCCATTTTAAAAATAAATTTATCTTCCGACGAAAATGACCGACGTTCGACGATTCGTGTTTCGCTATTTTATAGCTGTATCAGCTGATTTGCAGTGAAAACTTTATTCGCTGATTCAAACAGTGAAATTTTAGCTAATTCAAATTTAGAGAGTGGGTTGTGTCACTCATTATTCACATCACCTGTGACGTGCTTTTTTTTAGACAAAATTCATGAGTTTATAGGGTCGTAGATTTCTATGCAAGAAAAGTTTGGAACATGTACTATATTTGCTTCAAGTCCATGACGTAAATACTCTCCTCCACTCAATGCGAAATTTGCTTAAAATCCATGCGCTTTTCGGATGGATTTCTTGCAACGGAGATAGAAATGATAGTGCGCATGCGTGACTCCCGTTCACGTGTCGCTCGAAGGGTCCAGTCCCATTTGCAAGAAATCCATCCGAAAAGCGCATGGATTTCAAGCAAATTTTATATAGAGAGAAGGAAGGCAATTTTATCATGTTTCTTTAAGCGTTTATAGTTTACAGATCAATCAGAATTAGTATACATGTTTTTCTAATTTCACACAACGTTTATTCATGTAATAAACACAAGATTTCATCAAAAAAGCAACAGTGGCTCATGTGAATATAGTATGATTTTTCTCTCCGTGTATAACAACCTTACCGTGTAAGCTTATACAGGTGGCTGGAAGAAAGAAAAAAGTTTACCTACGATGCTCCTGCTGCTCAATGGTATATCAAGTCATTTCATAGAATAAAGTTTGCCTAAAGCATATTGAGGAATTTTTAGAGTTTTTGGAACGAGATGAAGGATTCGGCATTTGGTCAGAACAAGCTGGAGAGTCAATTCATCGCGAGTTTCTAAAGTTTTGAAATCGGAGATAGTTAAATAATATTAGAGATCCTATAATTATCCCATAAAGTTGAAGGAAGCTGTAGTGGACTTTTCTTCTAAGCACATTTAATAATTCTGTGATCATAACAATTATTATTTTTTTAATGATTTGAAAGAATATTTTTTAATAATTTCCCAAATCACCCCGAAAAAGGGGCAATACTCTCGCAAATGAACAGCTATGATTTTGGGTCAAGGTTTTCTCGACTCAGGGGATTCTATGAAATGACTTGATACCATTGAGCAGCAGGAGCATCGTAGGTAAACTATTTTTTTTCTTCCAGCCACCTGAGATGATCTCAAGGCTTACACGGTAAACTTAAAAACCCTATACAGATATCCTTACAGTAACCTCACAGCAATAAGTCATGCTATGTGGATACTCAAAATTTCAAATCTTAAAAATTATAACCGTAGAATTTTTTGCTTTTTGCAATGAAGAGAATTTAAAAAAAAAATTTAATTTTCAGTTAACAGACCAGGAACAAGTAGAAGTCCCCAACTACAACAATTGGGAACAAAACGAAAAGAATCCGAATCTAATCCCTTGAGTTGGACACGTGTTTTAAATATGTTATCACGTGACAATCAATTACCGGTAAAAAAACTTTGTATGATGGATGAAGTTGAAATATCGCCAAGTAAAATTACAACACAACAATCACAGTCTTCGATACAATTTTCTCCACGCGCTTCCAATTCATTAGAACCAATTGAATTATTTATTAAAGACGACAATGAATTTCCATTTGAGACAAATAATGCAAATATCTGATCTTTAATCACAAATAATGATAATAATAAAAATAATAATAATAATAATAATAGTGGTGATTCACTTGATATATCGGTTATTAAATCGTTTGAATCTGGTATCGAAGAATTGGAGGATAATGATTTTGGTCTTGAGATTGTTGCACGATGGAAAATGAAAGATTAATTTTTTTTATTAAACATTTTTCGACGATTTTTTAAGTTTTTTGGAGTATTTTTTTTGTAAAATTGTAAATAGGGGGGAGAGAGGGGAAATGTGAGGCTATATATGTGTTAGAAATCGTCATGGAAACGAAGCTGTGTAACCTATTTGCCAAAAACAAAATAATTACTATAAGATTTCTACTCTTTGTCGTTTTTATTAAAAACAAAACGGGGGAAAAAATTTAAAAAAGTGACGAAAAAATGAATTTTGAAAATAAATTCAAGGGTAAAGTAGAGGAAGGATTTTTGTCAGATAAGCATACAACTCAGGAGGAATTTGAAAATTTTATGCATCGCGTCACTGATGTGGGTGAGTTTTTTTTTTTTATTTACTATCTCAATGTAAGCCACGGATGCAAATAATTCAGTCAAATTAGCATTTTAAGATGTTTTAACTCAGGACTTCAATTTTTTTTTGTTTGCTTAAACCCTTCAATTTTGGGGTAAAAATAAAGTATACATAAATTTGGTACTTCAAACTTCTACCGGAACCTTAAATTTTTTTAAGAAATAGGTTTTTTGCACCTATTAAAAAAAAATTGTAGGTTCCGGTAGGAGTTCGAAGTAACCAAATTTAGGTATACTTTATTTTTACGCCAAAATGAAGGGTTTAAGTAAACAAAAAAGAAATTGAGGTTCTGAGTTAAAACATCTAAAAATGCTAAACTTGACTGGACTATCTCATAATTTAAGCTTTGAATGCAAATAATCGAAGTTTCCCTTTTTTTTTAATTCTTAAATTGCGAAATAAAAAAAACTAAAACATATATTTTCAAAAATTTCAGAAAAAATTGTTAAAAAATTAGCGTCATCTGATTTAAATGAGCAAAATGAGGGTAAATTATTAGCTGATGAAATTTTAGAAGGAAATCTAATTGATAAGGAATTAATAAATGACAATTGTGAGATTCAAGTAAAAACAAATCGTACATTAATAAACAAATATTCCACTGATGGGGACAATTCAAAAGGTATGGACAAAACAGGTAGGCTGAAAAGTCGTTTATCTAAAATTTATGAAAAAAAAGTGTTATCATTTTTAAAGTAATTTAAACGTCTTTATTTTTTCTATTGCCTTTGAAAGAGCTTCCATTTTTCTTTCAAAATCCGTTGGAAAAATTAAAAATTGTTCAAAAATATGACAAAATAGCGGCAATTTTAATAGAAATTTTTTTTTTATTAAAATGGCCGCCATTTTGTTATTTTTAAACAATTTTTAATTTTTTCAATGGATTTTGAAAGAAGAATAAAAGATCTTTTAAATTTAAGATAAATAATAATAATAATAATAATAATAATTTAAATTTCAAAATTTAAAAGTTACAACACTAAAGTTCTTTTCTTCCTCTAAATTTTAGATAAATGACTTTTCAGTCTTGAAATGAAAAAAACAATTTTGTTTTTAATATATTATGTATATGATGTATTCCACGCCAAAGTGAAAGTCCATCTGCAATTGCATTTCCGATTTTTTTGAGAATTTTTTTTTCTTTTAGTACTAATTGAGACTAGCTTCGATGAATTTTTTCAAATTTTTTTACCAAGCCGTTTTCGAGTTATGGAATTTTGAAAATTTGGAGAATTTTCATGACTTTTAATTCTTGAATGCTCATAACTTCCTTAAAAATGCATTAATTTTAAAAATCTTTTTTTCAAATGATATTACTATCAAATTTTTGAGTTTTAAGGATATAAAGTCATTTTTCGCATTTGACGTACTAATCGATTTTTTTCAAATTTTTTTTTAAAAAAGTACTTCTTTTTACGAAATTTTTAAGCCTAGCCCGATAATGGGCAAACGAGTTTTACAATATTTTCGGATTTTTTCAAAAAAATTTTGAATTTTGAATTTTTTAAAAATATTTTTGGTTTTTTTTTCTACTACGTAACTTTATGTATTTTTATGTTGAAAACCATAAAAAAGTCCAAAAATTTATGGTTTTTCTCGTTTAGTGGGTAAAATATGCAAAATTAAAAAAAAATGTTTAAACAAAAGTTATTAATCTTATTAAAATACATTTTTTATATCATACGCATTTTTTTTAATTTTGCATATTTTACCTAATAAACGAAAAAAACCATAAATTTTGGGAATTTTTTATGGATTTCACCATAAAAATCAAATTTTCGGGTATTGTCACTATGATTTTCGTAATCAGCGCATCAAAATACATAAAGTTACGTAGTTTAAAAAAAAAACCAAAAATATTTTTAAAAAATTCAAAAATTTTTGAAAAATTCCGAAAATATTGTAAAAATCGTTTGCTCATTATCGAGCTAGACTTAAAAGTTTCGTAAAAAGAAGTGTTTTTTTAAAAAAAATTTTGAAAAAAATCGATCAGTACGTCAAATGAGAAAAATTGACTTTTTATCATTAAAACTCAAAAATTTAATAGTAATATCGTTTGAAAAAAAAATTTCGATTTTTTTTTTTTTGAAAAGTAGGTTTAAAAACACATTTTTTGTAAAAAAAAGACTTTTAAAATTGACGCATTTTTAAGGAAGTTATGAGCATTCAAAAATTAAAAGTCATGAAAATTCTCCAATTTTTGAAAATTCAATAACTCGAAAACGGGTTGCTAAAAACATTTGAAAAAATTCATGGAATCTAGTCTTAATTAGTACTAAATGAAAAAAAAAAATTCTCAAAAAAATCGTTGATGCAATTGCAGATAGACTTTCACTTTGGCGTAGAATACATCATATATATATATATATATATATATACTTTGGAATAAAAAAAAAAGAAAATTAATTTTTCTCTTTCTCGCAGAGAAATTTATGAAAAATGTTGAATGGGACGCAAAACAACGTGCCAATGATAGAAAAATGCATAATGAACGTGCCGAAACATATAAAATAATTGGCAATGGTGCATTTAAAGAAAAAAATTATGAAAAAGCATTAACATATTATTCACGTGCCATTGAATATCGTAAGGATTCAACTATTCTTTGGAATAATCGTGCATTGACTTATATAAAATTGCAAAAATATAAAAAAGCCATAAAAGATTGTGAATGGGTTTTAAAAATTAACCAATCCAATATTAAGGCACTTTTAAATTTAGCCAAATGTCATGCACAATTTAATAATCAAGAAAAATGTCAAGAATACATTAACTTGGCAAAAGATCGAAATTCACAATTTATTAATTATATAAATGGTATTATTTATTGGATTTTTTTTACAAAAAAAAAAAAAAATTTATAATTGTCACAAATTTTCTTCATTTTTTTTTTGAATTTAAAAAAATATTTTATTTTCAGATTTTGAGAGAGAATTAAAAATTGGAAGAAAATCTGAGAAATCAAAGTAGAAATCAAAAAATAAGGAGAATGAGCTTCCAGGAAATAGATATACAACTTATTGAAACAGTATTATGAATTCTTTTTTTATTTACAAAGTAGGTATTCAATAATAATAATAATAATAATATTAATAATAATAATAATATTAATAATAAACGTATTAGTAAATGTTTAAAGAAAATGTTTCTTTTTAAATCACCGTCGCATTCTTTTCCTTAATTTCAGACAATGATCTTGGTTCGTGAATAAATACCATGCACTCAATACCCTAGAAAGTAAAATTTATTTTTATTTTTGGAAATTTTAATTTAATTTTCACTGTAAAATTCTTATTTTAAGATATTTTTTGGTAGCAATTTCCAAGATATCCAAGACATCTTAAACATTTTAATGTCTTAAAAAAATGCTACCAAAAAATCTTAAAATAAGATACAAACTTTTTTGCATTTTTTTTTTTACCTGCATTCGTGCAGCACGTACAAAACCCTCGTTAGCAGTGACAGTGATACTTTTTAAATTTTCCCCTGTTGCAAAAATAACACGCGATCTATGCTTAATTTTCCCTCCAACATTTAATTTTTCAATAATACGTCCACGTGGTATATCGTCGACTATTTTAACTTTTTTCATTAAATCATCAGCTCTTATCACTTCATTTGGCCCACCAATAACGTGAATAATATTGCAAAAATTTTCATAAGCAGTTTTACAAACAACAAGTTCTTTATTTTCAAATAATTCCTCTAATATTGGTTTTATCGAACATTTTCTCTCCCATTCAGCCTGTGTTGTTAACAATGGTTCTTTATAAATAAAATTTGCCTTTCCATTCGTCATATTTGTCACATAGGCAAGTAACGTTGATACATCTAAATTTAAAAAATTTATCTTCGGATCAATATTATTTTGTAATTCTGAATTTGGTGAATAAAAATCCTCCATTGAATCGTCTGAGGCTAGAAAATTTTTTTTTTTATTATTAATAATTATAAATTATTGAGGCGCATGATTTTTCCCAAAAATTAAAAAGTTGGAAATTTTAATTGATCGAATTACTTTAAGTCGATATTTTATTTGGTCGAAATTCTAAAAGAACGACAGTTATGAAACTCGACATTTTATTTAGTCGATATTTTATTTGGTCAAAATTCTAAATGATCGACATTTAAAGTGGTCGAAATTTTATTTGTTCGATATTCTAAATGATAGAAATTTAGAAGCATCGAATTTTATATCCATCGAAATTTAATTTGGTCGATATTTTAAAAGCTCGACACTTTTTTTTAGCTATACGAGTTTCCTTTCTATGTAGTTATTATTATTTACATCAATAATTTCAAATTTCCCGCAAAATTTCAATGTACTTTACCGACAAACTACATAGAAAGGAAACTCGTATTGGGATCTGAAATACTGCGATACGCCATCTGGTGACGACCCCGTTGTGTCAGCCATTTTTCATTTCATCCTTTTTAAAATATATGTAGAAGAAAGAGATAAAAAATCAAGATGGCTGACGCAACGGGGTCAGTTTTCCCATAATTCCCTATGATTTCAGATCCCTATAGCTAAAAAAGTGTCGAGCTTTTAAAATATGGACCAAATTAAATTTCGATGGATATAAAATTCGATGCTTCTAAATTTCTATCATTTAGAATATCGAACAAATAAAATATCGACCACTTTAAATGTCGATCATTTAGAATTTTGACCAAATAAAATATCGACCTTCATAAATGTCGGTTATTTAGAATTTCGACCGAATAAAAAATCGACTGAATAAAATATCGACCTTCATAAATGTCTATCATTTAGAATTTCGATAAAATAAAATATTGACTAAATAAAATATCTGCCACTTTAAATATCGATCATTTAGAATTTCGAATAAATAAAATATCGACCAAATAAAATGTTGACCATATTAAATATCGATCATTTAGAATTTCGTTCAAATAAAATATCGACTTAAGGTATCACATCGGCACTAATCGGAGTCAAAAGTTTGTAGCTCGCATTACTACTTTCCGCACTATACTTTCGCCCTCAACTCCCTATACTCTCAGCCCATACTGTACCTACTTCTACAAATACACTCGTACACGTATACCCCACACTAGCAGCGATTGGAAGGAGTAGGAGGTTTGACAACGTCGCTATATGTCTCGCTTTGACTACTGTGGACTACTGTCTCTCTCTAACTAATGTTACCATCCTGCGATGTTGCCACATCAAAGTGGCGGGTGTGCTATATATTGCAAATGACGTCATGAAATAGAATTTTTAATTTATAATTACAAATAAACGGCACGGTAAATTATAAATTTTTTTGTATATTTTAGTTCCAAATTTATTCGTGAATTCAACATTAGTTTTTGAAAAAAATTTATAGAAAACTTCTGATGATATTTATGAAAATGTACTTCTCCCCCATACATTAGTCCCGTCTCCCATGCAAAATAAGCAACTTTGATTGCTAATATCTCTGGTTTCGTACGGCGAAAATTCTTCATATTTTGCAAATTTGTCAAGAATGATAATAAGAACATATGGTAAAATTTTCAAGAAAATCTATAGAAAACGGTTTTACCGATGTGATACCTTAAGGGTAGGTCCTAGTAACGCAGCACCACCTATATCGAAACTAAAATTTTGGAAAATTATTTACAGTATTTACTTGAAAGCAAGACAATAAAATACTTTTTCCTTTAGGATAATTGATTATTGTCAGGAAATATACCAGCCAAAACTTTTTTTGAGTTAAAATAATGAAAAAAAATTAATGACGATAAATTAAATATGAGCATATTTTTGTACCAAAACTTTTAAGATATTTTCTGGGAAATAACAAAAAAAATGCAATTTTCATTTGGAGAATTAATAAACACTAAAAAATATACCAGCTAAGATTCACCAATCACGAAAATAACAAAAAAAAAATTTTATTACATATTTAACATATGGACACTGTTTTACTGATTGTGACAGCCCTTTGGTAGATTATGTATTTCAGGTGGTTAGCAACAGCGCCAATCTCCTCCTTTCGGCAAAATCGCGAAACGTCTGGTGACATATGTAACCTGCCAAACGGCTGTCATAGTTAGTAAAATATGTTATGTTAAAAAACTTTTCTTTTGTTATTTTCGTGATTGGTAAATCTTAGGTGGTGTATTTTTTAGTGTTTATTAATTTTCCAAATGGAAATTGCATTTTTGATTGTAATTTCTGAGAATGTACTGTTACAGTTTTTGTGAAAAAAGTGCTCATATTTAATTTATTGACATGAAATTTTTTTCATTATTTTAACTCAAAAAAAGTTTTGGCTGGTGTATTTCTTGCCAATAATCAATTATCCATAAAGGAAAAAGCATTTTATCTTCTTGTTTTCAAGAAAAGGCTGTTGGGAATTTTCAAAAATTTTAGTTTCAATGTAGATGGCGCTGCCTCACTTGGACCTGGCCTTAATGTAATTCGATGAATTAAATTTTCTACCTTTTTAATTTTTGGGAAAATCATCCGCCTCAAATTATTTTATATGTTTTTTGGTTATTTTTTAAATTGTGTAAAATATTTTTTTTTTACCGCTAAAATCTTCAGTTCGTGAGGGTATTTTTTTGCCTTCGACAATAATGCCTTTATTTTCAAGTTTTTCAGCCAATGGCAATTCAATGCCAGATGCAAAATGAAAAACAATTTCAGGTTTACGATACATATGTGGATGATTTATTGCACATTTTAAAAAACAATTTGCCTGATCGATTATTGATTTTTGTCCATATTCACCATTGCCCTGTGAAATTAATGTCAATGCACGAGCATTACGTGCTATTACTTTTATCCATTGTGAACCATTTTTACAAACAATATCAATTTCAAGACGTGAATTTTTATAATTAAATGGTTTTAGCACGTGTATTGGTTCACTAGCCGTAAATAAACAATTGACTATTGCATTTAAATGAATTAAATTTGTACTCTGTAGATGTTCCTTTTTCACTGTTCCCGCACAGCGTACCTTTAATTTGAAAATTCAAATTAATTAATTAAAATTCAATTTTTAATATTAAAATTAATATCACGGAGAAAAATGGAAAAACGAATAAAGTAACTTTTGGCGGGTGCATGATTATCCCATAAAAATTATTAGTGAGCATTTTCAACAATTTCATTACATATAATTATTTTTTACACGAATTTTCATTTTTCAAACTAACATTTGGTAGAATTTTTTTTTTTTTTTTTTAAAGAATTTTTAATTAACAGAATTCTTAGGCACCGAAATTTTATTTAGCAGAATTCTTAAAACGTCGAATTTTCATTTGTCCGAAATTGCAAATGACCGAAACAGAAATCGATTTTGGCGCGATTTTTAAAATCAACCAATCAAAAATTATCCATAAAATTGTGATTGGTTGATTTTAAAAATCGCGCCAAAATCGATTATTTGTTCGGCCATTTGCAATTTCGGAGAAATAAAAATTCGGCGTTTTAAGAATTCTGTATAATAAAAATTCGATATATAAGAATTATGTTAAGTAAAAATTTATTTAAAAAGTAATTCTGTCAAATTCTTTAAAATGAAAATTTTAACTAATGATTTTAATGGGATAATTATGTGCGCCCCGTAACTTTTATTACTTTAAAAGTAAAACGGGAACTGTTCGCAGTTTCTGGCACTTTTTACTTCAGAAATACAAGTAAAATTTACTATATCCGAAATAATTTTTACTATTTCAGAAGTAAATTTTACTAAATTTATTTTATTAACAAATTAATTTTATATTTTTAATATTATTAATTATTATTATTATTTATATATTTCCCCCATTTATTAATTACTAAAATTATTTGAAAAAAAAATAATAATTTCACAAGAACAGGGCACGGTAGAAAATACATACGCCCCTGACACTAGTTCCCATTTCAAAACAATAGATTTTAAAGGTTATGGTTTCGTAATTTTTTGACCAGTTTTTCTTTTTAAATTCTTAATTTTTTTTCAAGAAAAAACAAAAAATAAGAATTTAAAAAGAATAATAATAGAAAATATTTTTTACAAAAAAAAATTTAAAAGAAACTTGTTACCTTTTCTAAAAATCGTATTTCCTGTAGAAATTTTCTCACTAATTTATCGACACCTTCAATTTTTTCCGCCTCTTTTAATTTTTCAACAGCAATTTTGCCTAATTCAATTTTTTCCCAGAGACATTTTAATAATTCCTCTTTATCATCATCCATACTCATCGTTAATAATTAATAACGACATAAAAATTGCTGCAATAAATGCGAGAAAAAAAAAACTCTGATCTTTTGATGGTAAAAGTCGATTACTACATTGCGCATGCGCGACTCCATCTTGATAATTGTATATATGATGTGTGTGTATATATATATATATATATATATATATATATATATGTCATCGGTTTTCACGTGAAGTAAAAAAAAAATTATGTAGAAATAATTATTTTTTTCAAATTTATTATTAGAAAAAAAACAAAGCAATTTTATTCTTATGTTTATTAAAATTTTGACAATTAATGTCAATTATTGAAGGTTAAAATTGCAATGTACTTTCTTTGATTTGTCAATGATAAAGTCGGTATAATTGGTAAATTTTTTTTTTTTTTTTTTTTTCATTTCGGCTTTTATTTTATTTTGGAAATAAATAAACATTTGTCAATTATTGTGGGGAAAAAAAAGAAGTATTTGGAAATATGTCTGTTGCTGATAAAATTAAAAATCCCGAAGTTCCAGGTAAGTAAATAAATTTTTTTTTTTATTTTTGCGGCTATTTTAATATTAAATAAAAAAACAATTTAGAAGAGGGGGAAATATACTCGATTTCGATGTAATTAGATAAATTTTTTTTTAAAATTAATGCATTATGTAGAATACAATTATAGGAAAATAGAGAATTTAATGAAAATTTCCTCTTGTTTTGAGGTTATGTTTTACTTTGCGCATTTATGAAAAAAAAATAGGAAAAATAAACAAGAGAATTTATTATTTAGTAATTTAATGAAATACAAATCGTTTAAATTAAGTATTTATTATTTTGTTAGTTTTCTTTTTTTATATTTATTACAAGTTTCTTTATTTTTTTATTTTAAATATATTACGTCATTAGAATTTCAATAAAATTATAGATTATTTATATATATATATATATAAAAAGGATTTTAAAATACAATTTAAATTTATAAAATAAGACAAATAAAACAAAAACATTCGGACAAAGAATAAAAATATATTTCCTTTAAAGTTTTTGAAATCAAAACGATTTCCTTTTCAGTGGGAGTTTATCAAAAAAAATATATATACAAAATAGAATAATAAAAAACAGTAACTTAATAAATAAATAAAATATAAATTCTGAATAAAAATATCTTAACAAAAAATTAATAAGTTAGAAAAGTTAAAGACATAAATGATTAATTTTTCAAAATTAAAATTTAATTCCTTCATTGAAAATCATTATTAAGGTTATAATAATTTATTTATTTTATTAAATTATTATGTACTAGCAAAATTAAACGCGCCAAATTTAGTATTTAATTGTTTGTTATAAAGAAATTAAAGATTAATATTATCAATAATAATTTAATTTATTAGAATATTGTTACGTATTAAATGATAATAATGAAAATTATATATTTACAGGCCTCGGATTATACGACTTTTTCCGATTTTTTTCAAAAATACCACTTTTACCGACTTATTTTAATAAAATGCGACATTTTTTTTACATTTGAAAAAAAAATGTAAATAAAATACATTTTTTTAGTATAAAATATAGATCTTCTTCAATTTAATTATTTAACAAATTTTGAACTAAATTGATTCTTCACTAAATTAATTATTTTTAATAATTTTAATGAAATACATTACAAATTCAATTATATCAAAATTATTTTTCAATTAAAATTTTTATGATATTTAACAATTGTTTATAATTTAAAAAAAATATCACAATAAAATTAAATTATTTTTTGAAAAATTTCAATTCAAAATAAACTAAAATTCAATTATTACCCTAAATTTTAATTCAAAATCAATTAGAAATCCAATAATTATAAAAAAATTTCAATTTAAAATGAAATAAAATTCAGTTATTTCCCAAAATTTTCAATTCAAAATGAACTGAAATTCAATTATTTTCCAAATTTAAAATCAAATAAAATTTAATTGTTCTCAAAAATTTGAATTCAAAATTAATTGAATTTTCAATAATTTGAATTTAAAAGCATCTAAACTTTAATTATTTCTAAAATTTTCCATCGAAAATTTTTTTTTTTGAAATTTAATAATTTCAATTATAACTCTAAGGAAATTCAATTATTTTTTAACTATTTTAATAATATTCTTTGAAAATTCAACTATCTGAAACCATTTTTCAATTAAAAATGATTTTCAAATTATTGTATTTTGTCCGCATTTTCTAATAAATTTTTAGTGAAATCATCTCAAAATTTTAATTAAAAATCACTTAAAGTTTCAATTAATTTCAAAAATCTCAATTTTCAATCTTCGGAAATTCAATTAAATTTAAAAAATATTTTCCAAAAATTGTTTGATAATCTATTTTCAGTTCTGTAAAATTTAATAATTGTTTGGAAATTATCAATATCTTTTGAAATTTAATTATTTCTAAAAATTTCAACTGTAACCCTTCCAAAAGGATTATTATTAAAAAAAAATAATTTTTATTTAAAAATCTGTAAAATATTTTTGTTAAAATAAAAAACAAATCCACTTTTTTTTGGAATATAAATCGACTAAAACGACTTTTTTTGTGTCTTTAAGTTGATTCGAGGCCTGTGTTTTTATAATTAATATTTAATAGGTATTCGTTGGCCCCTGGTACCTTAAAAATAAATTTTTTTCAAATTTACTATCTTGTACGAAATTTCCTGGCGCATCTTTCTTGCTCATCATAAATTTTTTGTATTTGTATACAATTTTTGAATCAATATACAACTTTAAAAAAAATTTCGTTGGTAAACGTTGTGTACTTCAGCTTCGTGAATTGAATTTTCGAATTTGGAATTTTAAAGAAACTTATTCCGAAATTTGGAAACACAATTATACAACTTTGGCAAAAATGTGAAAAAGAATTGTCAAAATTTGACAAGTCATAAGATTACTATTCAAAACAAAAACACGTAAAATCAGAAAAGGCCAACTTCAAGTTAGGACAGAAGGACAGACCAAGCATTTTATTATTATACATATATAATAATTATTTTTTTTTATCTAGCTTCCATGAATTTTTTCAAATTTTTTTACCAACCCGTTTTCGAGTTATGGAATTTTCATGACTTTTAATTTTTGACTGCTCATAACTTCCTTAAAAATGCATTAATTTTAAAAGTCTTTTTTTTCAAAATGTGTGTTTTTAAACGTACTTATCAACAAAAAAACTCGAAATTTTTTTTTCAAACGATATTACTATCAAATTTTTGAGTTTTAATGATAAAAAGTCATTTTTCTCTTTTGACGTACTGATCGTTTTTTTCAAAATTTTTTCAAAAAAAACGTACTTTTTACGAAACTTTTAAGCCTAGCCCGATAATGGGCAAACAATTTTTACAAAGTATTTTCGGAATTTTTCAAAAATTTTTGAATTTTGAATTTTGAATTTTGAATTTTTTTAAAAATATTTTTGGTTTATTTTTATACTACGTACTTTTATGTATTTTGATGCGCTGATTACGAAAATCATAGTAACAATATCCAAAAATTTGATTTTTGTGGTTCTTAGCTTTAATTTGCTTTTTTGAAACTTCAAAAATATTTTTTGCAACACTAACCTCTAAAGTTAAATTTTACACACCGAAAAGTGTGTGTAAAGAAGCTCTTTTTCAAACGGTGTGTAAAGTGATTCACTTTACGCACTGAAATTTTTTCTAACTTACACTAAAAAAAAAAGCGTTTGGTTGGTATTTATAAGCAACGAAAATTTTTTTGATCAACAAAATTTTGGTTTCTCCCAATAAAACTTTATCTAGGACAACAAAAATCCTTTTTTTCTAATTTTTGGTGTGTCAAACAAATTTTGATTGAGACAATAAAAATTTTGTTGATTCAATAAAAAAATTTTTGTTGCTTAAATACCAACCAAACGTTTGGTTGTCAATACCAAACACTTTAATTTCCTTAAATTTTAGATTTAATGGTACGGAACCCTTGATTTTAATGCGAGTGTAATTTGCATTTGTTCATAATTTTTTTTCAGGATTGGAATGTTTATTACCTCCACCACCGCCTCCGCCACCGCCAAAAATAACAATAAATGAATCGCATCCACCGCCGCCAATGCCTGGTTCACTACCAACTCCAGTGCCACCACCAAGTGGACCATTTGGAAATATAATATCAACGGTGCGTCCTCAATTTTATCCAACAATTACGCCACAAGTTCTAAGTCATCCAACATCGGCGACACCATGGTGGATACCAACTGATGCCGATTCCAATGATCTTTATACACAATGGTATGCGAATTCTTATAAAAATGCAGCAGCCGCACAAGGAACACCAGTGACAACAACGCCTGTTATTACACAATCATCACAACAACAACAACAACAACAGCAACCAACATCGTCGCCTCAAGTCGATAAAATAAAAGCGAAAAATAAATTTTTAAAACGAAAAACCGAACCCATTGATCCACGTGCTGATGCTGGTAATTAAAAATTCACTATCATTTTTTTTTTTTGCTTAAAAATTTTTATAATTTTTATTAGGTTTTTATAGTTTTAAATATTTTTTTTTCATAATTTTTATAAATTTTGTTTTTTTCAGAGAAAGTTGCATCGGCTCAAAGGGAATTATCGGCGTTAATGAAACCATTGAAGTGCGATTTATGCAATGCCGTTGTAAGTTCAATTTTTCTATTTATTTTTTTAGTAGAGAAAATTTTTCCTCTGAAAAAAAACCCAATTTTGGCGATTTTTAATTAATTTTGGAACGATAAAAATCATTAATTACTCTCTAAATTTGTATTAGTAAAAATGTTTACTAATTTAAATTAGTGACTAACTTTTTGTTTTAGAATTAGTTAAATTTTACTAATAAGTAGTAAATTTTACTAATAATTAGTAACTTTTACTAATTATTAGTAAAACTTAACTTTAGAATTAGTTAAATTTTACCAATTGTTAGTAAAATTTACGAATAATTAGTAACTTTAACTAATTATTAGTAAAACTTAACTAATTCTAAAGCAAAAAGTAAGTCACTAATTTAAATTAGTAAACTTTTTACTAATTTAGATTTAGAGAATAGAATTTTTTTTTAAATTAAGTATTATTCAGGTAGAATTTTTTTTTATACGAATTTTTAACAAAATTCGTTAGCTACCGAATTTTTCGATTGAATTTTTATTTTATAATCGTTTAATTTACTTTTTTATTTAAATTTTTCATTTAAGGGAAGTGTAATTTTAACAGAATTTTCATTCAATTGAATTTTGTGTTTCGAATTTTTAAATGAAAGAAATTTAAATTCATCGAATTTTAATTTGTCCGAATTTTTAATAATTATTGTATTATTGTTGTTATTATTTTCTTATTTATAAATTTAGTTAAAAGAATGTTAATTTTTCATAAAATTTACAAATTAACAAAAAAATAAGAAGAAATTATTTTTATCAACAAAAAATTTTAATTGATTTGAATTAGTTAAACATTTTTTTCTTCTGATTAGTTAAATTTTCATAATTTGATAGTAGAAAAAAAAGTTTTTTTTTGAACTTTTTGCTTTTGAATTAATAAAATTTAACTATTTTAATAGTAAATTTTGTTTTTATAAATATCAAATTAGTGAAATAATTAATTTAGAAGTGAGTCTCTAATTGAAATCAGTTAAAAAAATTTACTAATTCAAATTAACAGAGTACATATAGTACTAAAGGAATAAAATTATAATTGTTATTTTTGTTAATTACTTATTTTTTTCTGTTTTTTTTAATTATTATTATTTAGATGAACTCGACGCTTCAAGCGAAACGACACTATGATGGAAAGCCACATCAAAAGAAAGTGTCAATGTTTCTTAATCAAAGTGCCAAAAAATTCAAAGTCGATGACGGACAGGTTTCCAGTACGACCGGCAGTGACTGGAACAGTTATTGCGAGGTGATTGAAATTTTCCTACAAACAAAAACAAAAAAAAAGTTTTATATATATAGTTTTCTATTGATTATTCCGCACTCGTTTCAATTTTCATCATCTATTTTTATTAAAAAACAAAAAAAGAAAGAAAAAAATGTAAATAGAAATAAAATAGAAAGTAAATAGAAAAATAAATTTATTTCGAAAAATAGAAACAAAAAAAAATAGAAAAAGTAAAAAAAAAAACCCCCAAAGATTTGTTTTTGAAAAATATTTTTTTTTCTAGATATGCAAAACGTGGTTTACATCACAAATGGACGCAGCACAACATTACGCGGGGAAAAAACACATGAAAGCTGCGCAAGGAATCAGTCGACCAAGGTGAGTGCAAAAAAAAAAGAATAAAAAAAATTTTTTCTAGGCAAAAAAATTATTTCTTTTATTATTAAAATTGTATATTGAAAATGAGAAATTTAAAAATTGATATTTATTTTTTTTTGCAGTCAAAAGAAAAAAAAAGATAATCAACCAATCGATCCAACTGGACGTTTTGGTGTTGGTGTGCAATTTTTACAAAATGAACCGCCAATACCGGCAACAATTGCCGCTGTTCCGGTTCCATTGCCAGTTCCTGTACCGGAAGTCGCTGTTTCATCGCCTGCTATTCATTATTCACAACAACAACAACAGCCACCACCACCACCTCCACCACAACAACAACAGCAGCAGCAGCAACAACAGCAACAGCAACTAACAATTTTTCCTCAAACATTACATTGCGATTTGTGTGGTGTTTCGGCGAATCGCGAGGATCAATTGGAAACGCATAAACGAGGCGCACGACATTTACGAATGCTCAAATTAAATGGTTTGCCCGTCCCAGAATCTGGTTAGTGAGAAAGCAAAAATTTTTTTTTTGTTTTAATTTTTCTTCTATTTTAAAATAAATATATGTTGTATTCCAGGCGAAAGTGTAAGTCCATCTGCAATTGCATCTACCATTTTTTTTTTTTAGTACTAATTGAGACTAGTTTCCATGAATTTTTTCAAATTTTTTTAGCAACCCGTTTTCGAGTTATGGAATTTTCAAAAATTGGAGAATTTTCATGACTTTTAATTTTTGAATGCTCATAACTTCCTTAAAAATGCATTATTTTCAAAAGTCTTTTTTTTACAAAATGTGTGTTTTTAAACGTACTTTTCAACAAAAAAAATCGAAATTTTTTTTTCAAACGATATTACTATCAAATTTTTGAGTTTTAATGATAAAAAGTCAATTTTTCTCATTTGACGTACTGATCGTTTTTTTTTAAATTTTTTTTAAAAAAACTACTTCTTATTACGAAACTTTTAAGCCTAGCCCGATAATGGGCAAACGATATTTTACAATATTTTAGGAATTTTTCGAAAATTTTTGAATTTTTAATTTTTTAAAAATATTTTTGGTTTTTTTTATACATACTACCTATTTTTATGGACTTTGATGCGCTGATTACGAAAATCATAGTGAGAATACCAAAAAATTTGATTTTTATGGTGAAAACCATATAAAAGTCCCAAAATTTATGGTTTTTTTTTGTTTATGGGGTAAAAAATGCAAAATTAAAAAAAAACTTTCAAACAAAAGTTATAGATGTTATTAAAATAAATTTTTTTTATTTTATGCATTTTTTTTAATTTTTCATATTTAACCCAATAAACGAAAAAAACATAAATTTTGGGACTTTTTCATGGTTTTCACCATAAAAATCAAAATTTTAGGTATTTTCACTATGATTTTCGTAATTAGCGCATCAAAATACATAAAAGTACGTAGTATAAAAATAAACCAAAAATGTTTTGAAAAAAATTCAAAATTCAAAAATTTTTGAAAAATTCCGAAAATATTGTAAAAATTGTTTGCCCATTATCGGGCTAGGCTTAAAAGTTTCGTAAAAAGAAGTAGTTTTTTAAAAAAAATTTTGAAAAAAAACGATCAGTACGTCAAATGAGAAAAATGATTTTTTATCATTAAAATTCAAAATTTTGATAGTAATATCGTTTGAAAAAAAAATTTCGAGTTTTTTTGTTGATGAGTACGTTTAAAAACACACATTTTGAAAAAAAAAAAGATTAAAATTAATGCATTTTTAAGGAAGTTTTGAGCATTCAAAAATTAAAAGTCATGAAAATTTTCCAATTTTCAAAATTCCATAACTCGAAAACGGCTTGGTAAAAAAATTTGAAAAAATTCATTGAAGCTAGTCTCAATTAGTACTAAAAGAAAAAAAAATTTTTTAAAAATCGGAAATGCAATTGCAGATGGATTAACACTTTAGCGTGGAATACATAATATATTTTTATATTTTCATAAAAATTAAAATAATTATTTTTTTGTTTTATTTTTTTCAGTTCAAGAAGCACAAATTACACCAACAACTGCTGGACCAATTGATTATTCAATTTATAGAACGCCATCAGGTAATTTATTTTGTAATTTTTATATTACATAGTACACGGAAAAAACAAACTAACTATTTTAGCACCAAACTGCTTTATCCTTTATTAGTATACAATTTCGTTTACCTATTAAAGTGTGAAATAATGCTTTTTTAGTTTAAAGTCCATACTAAATAAGTATAATGGTTATACTCTTATAGTAATAGTGACGTACTTTAAAAGCATAAAGGCCTAAGCAGAATAGATTCTTGAACGGGAACGCAATCGTAAACGGAAACGTAAGAATGAGTAAGAGAAGGATAACAAATATCTTTATTCTTTTCTCACTCATTCTTACGTTTCCGTTCAAGGTTGCGTTCCCGTTCAAGAATCTATTCTGCTTTGGCCTTAAAATTGATGCCCGCGAAGTACAACATATAGTCTACCTAAAATAGCAAGAGCTTCTTCCTTTTTGGTGGATAAATTCTTGCAACCTGCGTTTTGGCCTATATCGATATATCGATGGTTGGAAAAGGAGGGAGGCGTGGCCAAAACGCAGGTTGCAAGAATTTATCCACCAAAAAGGAAGAAGCTCTTGCTATTTTAGGTAGACTATATGTTGTACTTCGCGGGCATCAATTTTAAGGCCAAAGCAGAATAGATTCTTGAACGGGAACGCAACCTTGAACGGAAACGTAAGAATGAGTGAGAAAAGAATAAAGATATTTGTTATCCTTCTCTTACTCATTCTTACGTTTCCGTTTACGATTGCGTTCCCGTTCAAGAATCTATTCTGCTTAGGCCTTTATGCTTTTAAAGTACGTCACTATTACTATAAGAGTATAACCATTATACTTATTTAGTATGGACTTTAAACTAAAAAAGCATTATTTCACACTTTAATAGGTAAACGAAATTGTATACTAATAAAGGATAAAGCAGTTTGGTGCTAAAATAGTTAGTTTGTTTTTTCCGTGTAGGAAAAATAAAAATAATTTTTTTTTTCAAATGAAAAATAAAAAATTGTCATAAAAATATTAAATAATGAAAACTATTTTAGGGTCAGTTGATAGAAACAAGGAGTAAATCGAAATAGTAGTTATTTCAGTTAAATAAAAAAATTTCTAAAATAAATAAGGCCTCAAAACCTTGAACTTAAAATCACCCCCAACAAAGTTTGAGGCTGACCTTTGTAAACAAGTTGTAAATTCAGATGTTCATTACATGAACATTTTGCTTCCTCTTTACGATCAGCAAAAAAATTTGCTTCCTCGTGGAGAAAGCAAAATTTTATTGCCAAAATGTGAATTTTTGATTTTTTAACTTTCATTAATTCTTTAAATTTACCTTAAATGTATACTTTATATATATATATCGATCGATTCGCCTTGACGTAAGGAAAACGATTTTATTATATATAACCTTAAATTTTTCTATTTAAAAATTTTGTCGATTAAAAAAAAATTTTTGGAAAAAAGACGATAAAATTTTTTTTTGGGGTATTTTTCAAAATCCTTTGGTCAGATTTGAGATATTAATATGATAAATGAGCCTACCAAATTTTATCTAAATCCATTAAAACCTGTTAAAGTTATCTTCTAAACAAAAAAGGGATCCACACACACACATACATCCGGACAATTGATCAGGATCTCATATAACATGTTTCTATAAAGAAAAAAATTTGTTTCCGCCACTTTGAAAAGTTTTATAAATGAAAGGACTACAAAGCTTCCTCCACGAGGAAGCAAAAAAGGAAGAAATTTGTAAATTAAAATTAAATATTTTATTATTTTTTTGTTTTTTAAAAATTTTCAAAAAAAAGAAAATTTTTGCAGAATTTTTATTTACACGAATTTTCATTTAACATAATTTTAAAGAATTTTTATTGGCTAGAATTTCATTGCATTGAATTTTCATTTTTATTCTTTCAGATGAATTTTCATTTGTTTGAATTATTATTTGATATAATAATTTCCATAAAAACCGATTTTTTTTGCAAAATTTTTAATTAACCGTAAAATCATTTAACAGAATTTTTAATTGATAGAATTTTTATTTGTCCGAAATTGCAAAAAAATATAAAATAATTACCGACATAAAAATCTACTTTACCATCAGTCGGTAATGTAGATTTCTATGTCGGTAATTTTTTTATATCAAATAATGGTAATAAAATAAGTTTAACCTAATTAAATTTTTTTCTGTTTGTTGCAGGACAATATTATTGTGCACCGTGTAATTTGTCGCTTAATTCAGAAATAACATTTGCTCAGCACATTGAAAGCAAAAAGCATAGAAGTCAGGTGAATCCAAAGGTACAAATAACGCCTGTGGCGTCATCGAAAAAGTCACACAAGAAGAAATAATTTAATTAGAGAGAGAGAGAGAAAGAGAGAGAAAAAAAGAAAAAATTTTCTAAAAAAGAATTTTTTTTTCTTCTTTTTGCAATACACAATATATATATAGAAGTTGGCATATTTTTCCCTATTATTGACGGTTTTCACAACACGATTTTTTTTTCTCTTCATCGTATACACAAAAATTTCACAAATACTTTTTTTTGTATATATGTGTTAAATGAATGTTGAAATATTTCACGTGTTCTTCTCCTTCAAAAAGAAAAAGAAAAAAAAAGGTATGTCACAATATTTACCACTGTTTTTTTTTTTTTTTTAATTATTATTTCTGCTTATGTATTATATGAAAAAAATTTTTTTTTGTTTACTGTGCAAGATTTTTTTTGTCATTTGACATTTTTTGATTTTTGTATAAGAGGATAAATTAAGAATGAAAGAAAAGAAATTTCAATATGGAAAAAATTAAATTTTGAAGAAATTACATTTTTTGTAATTTTACAAATTTTCAACAAATTTTCAAGATAAAACCAAATTTAGAATTTGTCAAGAAGAAGATGCAAATTTAAAAAATTTGAATTTTTTAAAAATAGATCAATTTTGAAATCGACAATTAATTTTTTTTTGAGAAAAAAATTTTCTCAACGAAATGCAAAAGAAATTTCTAATTTTTGGACTCAAAAATTTTGAATTTTTCAAAAAAAAATATACTTAAAACAAAGAAAGAACATTTCTTTAAATTAAAAAAAAAATAAGTTTTGATTTTTTTTATTTCTCAGACACACATAAATATTTGTTTTTTGTATAAATATAAAAAATTTGTTTTCATCTTTGAAAATCGACTAATTTCGACACGAAAAACCAAAAAAAAAAAAAATTATTAATTTGTTGATTTATTTACATTAAAAATGAAATACAACTTTATTGTAATAATTTGCAAAAAAAAAACAAAACAAAACAAAATTGTATATTTCAATTAACAAAATCAAATCTTTAAAAAAAAATTTTTTTTTTCGCAATATTTTGTTTTGTTTCAAATTTACATATATTTATAATTAAAAAAACAAAAAAAAAAAAATTGAAAAAAATATGTTCATTATTTTGAAAATTTCTACTCTAATTATAATAACAACGTGAATCTTAATTTTAATGAAAATAAAATAAATTTTGTATAATAAATTATTCCGATAATTGGAATAGATGATGAGGAAATAAATATATTAGTCTGGCAATATTTAAATTAAATGTCGATTAACATTAAATTAGATTGGCTGTAAATTAAAAGACGATTAAAGTGATAGCTCGTTAAAACACGACTAGGTCCCATCCAGCCCCCCCCCACTCCCCCTCCACTTTCCTTCATTTCAAGAGAGAGCCCCCCTTACGACTAATCGTCAACATTTATTGAATTAAGAAACCATTAACGCGCCAATGCTTCGCGAAATCGTGTGCGAGAAAATTTACGTCGTCTTTGAGTTTATATACGATTAAAAAATTTTTGTAATTATTATGTCTGCGCGCATCTCTTTTTTTCATTGGGAATGATTTACAAAAAAAAGATGAAAACGATAAGATCGCCAAAAAGAACATTTTTTGCAAATATTTGTTTTCTCTTTTTTTTTATCGTAGTTTGAAAAAAAATCCAAAAATTTTAACAAGAATTTTTTTTCTAAATATATATTTGAATAGATTTTGTGAATTTTAATTTTTCATTCAAAATATATAGATAATTTTACTGCAATTGTCACATTTCGGACGTTGCAGTTCACAGTTTTTTTGCTACTGCACTGTAAAACGAAAGGTATTAATTTAATACAGATTTTAGGTACTAAATTGTCATTTGATTCCATTTTGATACCTAAAATCGGTAATCAGTAATGACAATCTGAAATGTGACATTTTGCTACAATTGTCGCATTTCGGAGGTTATACAGTAAATCATCTGAAATGTGACAAATGTCCAACTGTTGCATTTCGGACGTTATACAGTAGAACGTCTGAAATATGACATTTTGCTGCAATTGTCGTATTTTGGAGGTTATACAGTAAATCTTTTGAAATTTAGCACTTTAGTCAAGCTGTTGCATTTCAGATATTATACAGTAGAGAATCTGAAATATTAAATAAAGAAAAATAGTATATCTTTTTCTTCTGTGTTAAAAATTATAAAAGACACAATATAGTGAATTCTCTGAGGGTGTTAAGGGTTATTTAGGAATGGAGAGGGAGAGTTTTGAAAAACAAACTCGTTAAAAGCGGACGAGAAGTCATAAAAATGGGATGTGCAGGTATATACTAACGATCCACAAGTTCGTGTCGAGGTTGATCCTAATCTAGCTATGCGAGATGAGACTTTTAGTGAGTTCAGAGTCGAGAAGAGAAAGAAAAAGAGAGTGAGATAGAGAGAGAGACTCTCTGATGTTGGTAGTAGAATTTTAAATGAAAAAAAAACGATTGAGAACCTAGAGAGAGAGTGAGTGAGAGAGAAAGATGAAAAAAAGCGACAAAAAGATGACAAAAAAAAGGAGAACGGAAAAAATATGGACGCGCTGTTAAATTGCCGTAGGACGAGTTTTGCTCTGGGATCAAGCAAAGACGCTATATGGGCATTATAAATGCAAAACGACGAGCTTTGCCTTTCGCGATTTGTTATACACACACACACACACATATATATACACTAAGAATTTTTGAAAAAAATAATTCGAGTACTCGTCATAAATTCCTTACGTCGTATTCTCGCTTCGCGGCAGATGAGACGATATCATATATGAATTTTGTTTTTTTTTTTACTTTTTTGACTGTTTGAAAGGTGGGAGACAACTAAGAATGATGATTTTCTCAGGAATCGTCAAAACTTACGATGATAATTAAAAGGCAAATGAAAGACATATTTTTGTTTTTATTATTTTCTTAAAAAGTCGTTTGCAAACGACAAGAGAATTTTTTTTTTTTTTATTAATTTATTTCATTAATTTTTATGAGAAATTTATATTTTTTCTATTTATATTTATTATATTTGTTTATATATTTATTTATATTTTATATGTATTTATTTTTTATTAATTTTTTTGGGATTTTTATAATGAATTTAAATTTTGCGCTTAATTTTCTACTTTATCGACAGTACATAGATTGGCTTTTCTTCAATACTTTGCGCCTATGAGAAAAATTCATTTTATCGTTTCTTTTCTTGTTGAAAAAAAAATTAACCAATTAGCCAAGAGCGTTAAATGCCCTTCTTTCATTGAATCTCAATGTCCGGGTTCAATTCCCGTTAGGGGAACAAAAAAAATTTTTTTTCTATTTTTTAATTCTAATTTTAAGTTAAACCTTCTCTCTCTCTCTCTAGATTGCAAGTGAAACGCATCGACGACTCTTATTTCTTTTTTCCACTTCCGGTCAAAACGTATATATATATGCAGCGCAAACGAAAGAAAAATCCCCATTGTTTTTAATTTTCATGTTAAATTTTTCTTAAAAGAAATTTAGTCCAATGACTTGTTGAATTTTGTAAGAAATTAAAAAAAAAAAAAAAAAGAGGGCCAAGTTCCTCATGAAATTCACCTGCAATCGAATACAATTCAGACGCCGTAACGAAAATAAAAAAATTTAAAAAAAATCAATCACCCACGGACCTTCTCCGTCCAAGGATATTGATGATGAAGGGGGTGGGGGAAAAAAGGAGAAGAATTGACCCCCTTCTTCCTTTCCCACTTCCATCCCCAAATGCCTCTCCCCCCTCTTCCACCTTTGCGCCAATCGACTCTGTCGGCACACCGGATTGCGTATCGAACGCAAACAACATAAAATCGATCGAGCGGAAACCGCCGTCGTCCATGCTTGATCAACGATCAAGAAAGTGTCTTAATATGAAAAAAGAAAAAAAAACAAAAATTAGCACAATATTGACCTCGATCAAATATATAAATTTATATATATAAAATTTTTTTTTCAATTTCACAATAAAAAAAAAAATTGTGAAATATTAATTTTCTCTCGTTTATTTCGTAACGCTTTGTCTAAAGTTGTAAAAATCAGTATCTAATGTAGTTTTATGCCAAACTACGTTAAATACGTAACTAACGTAATATTACAGTAAGTTACGTTAAGTCCGTAACTAACATAATGTAACAATAACTTACAGTAATTAGGTAACTAAAGTAAACTTACAGTAACTTACGTTAAATACATAACTAACGTACCGTTACAGAACCTTAAAGTCAGTTACGTGAACTACGTAACTAACGTACCCTAACAGAACCTTAAAGTAACTTACGTTTTTACTACGTAACGATCAGAATCTTACAGTAACTTACGTTAGCTACATATTAACGTAATATTATACAGTAACTTAAAGTAACAGTATATTCTGTTAACTACGTATCTTTTGGAATCTTACAATAACTTACGTTATCTCCGTAACGAACGTAATATTACAGTAACTTACGTTATCTACGTAACATTATGTAACTTTACGGTAACATTCTTACATTACGTAACTTCCGTAAATATACGTTAGTTTACCTTGAGTACGTATCTCATGTAACCTTTGGTAACTTATGCACTTACAGTAAATTTGTTTTAACGTTACTTGAAAAAAATTACTTTAAACACGTAGCTAACGTAATAAGACGGTAATTTACGTAAATTACGTATCTAACGTAACTTTTAAATGACGAAATTATAAACAATCATTTAAATTTTTCAATTTATTTTAACGTTATTTATTTGATTATGAATTGTGTTTTTTCGTTTTCTTTTTTTGTTAATGGTTATATGAAATAATTTTTTTACGCGAATAATGTTAATGTTTTTTTCCCGCTTAAAATAGAAAATCAAAAAAAAGAAAGAAAATAGTGACAAAAGTTAATCGCCGGATTAAAGTTGCCTATTTAAGAAGAATAAAGAAGAAGAAGAAACGTGAGTCTTGGATTGCCTCCATTTACAGAAGTAGAAAGCAATTTTCCTTGGCGATGAGTGAACGAAAGAATGAGAGAGAGAGAGAGAGAGAGAGAGAGAGAGAGAGAGAGAGAGAGAGAGAGAGAGAGAGTCCCTTGAAAAAAGGTTGTAATCAATGAGGGACCGGAAGCTGTATCAGCCCTCCTTTTTATCCCTGGAATTGGATTGCCTTTAGCTTTAAAGCCAATGCCGTTCATGCGAAGATCCTACAACCGACGACGATTTCACTGTATGGCCAGATAGGGTAAGTATATTGTAACCTTTTTTCAAAAAAAAAATCGAGTACGAATTTTTTTTAGTTTTATCATTCTTTAAAGAAATTTTTTTAATTTTATTAATTTGATTTAAAAATAATAATACCTAATACTTATTTTTATTATAAGTATAAAACGAAAAAAAAATTTCATTTAAAAGTCGATAATCTTATTTTCTTATATATATTATATTCCCGACAGTCGTGGGATCCAGATGACAGAAAACCTTTATTAATTCTTGAATTGTCCTTCTGGAGCTTCCGCAATTAGGCGCTCCGCGAAGCATTACGATGCGCCCCTACGCCCCCTTTCTCCCCTTCCCTCGTCCCCCAACCCAACAGACGTCCATTACATTTCCACCAGAATTCTCATCAACCTACACATATTTATACAAACACACACACACAAACACACAGACATAATGTTGAGTGTCTCCCTAATCGAGAAATAATTGTACGCATTTTCGAAAGGTTGCAAAGAAGACGAAAGAGCAACCAACTTGATATATACTAAAAGAAAAAAAAAAATTGGTAAAAAAAAATTATTTCAGTTCGAAAAGGCGCAGCAGGAACAATGAAGAGGCGGTCAAAGACAAAGGGAATCGGGTGCATTCACTTTTGACTTGATAAAATAATGCCGTTTCTATTTAAGTGCTAATTTAGTTAGTTTGCGTTCATTAGCAAAATTAGAAATGCATCATTGCTATATATATTCGAATTTATACATTTTGTTTCTAACCTCTAAATTTTAAGAAAAGAATTATTCTTTCTCAACTTAGTGCATGCTAGTTTGCCATTTTTAACAAAAGAAAATTTCTTTTTTTTTTTACAAAATTCACGGTAATGTTACGGTAATTAAGTAATTTACCATATATTACACTAAATACGTAAAATATTGTATACTACTCGCTACTTACGTAATTAACTATATTTTCAATTATTTTCATAATATACCGTTAATTACATAATTTACCGCATACTACGTCAGATACGTAATTTACCGTATATTACGCTACATACATAAAATATTGTATACTACACACTACTTACGTAATTAGCTGTATTTTCAATTATTTTCGTAATATACCGTTAATTACAAAATCTACCGCGTATTACGTCAGAAACGTAATTGTTACTAGATATTACATTACTCTCGTAAAATTCTGCGAATTTCGCTACTTACGTAATTAACAAATTTTGAAAGTAGTTTCAAAATTTACCGTTAATTACGTAGTTTTTCGCGTATATTACGCTACTTACGCAATTTACCCTATACTACGTTAGTTACGTAACATTTTCTTTTACTTTCTTACTTACGTAGTAAAGCCTTTTACTATTGGGATCTGAAATACTGCGATACGCCATCTGGTGAGAGCCTTGTTGTGGTGGCCATGTTTTCATTCCGTGTTTCTCTAACATATACAAAAGAAAGAGATAAAAAACCAAGATGGTTGTCACAAGAAGGCTCAGGGGTGGGTCAGTTTCGCGTGATTTCTGATCCCAATATGTTTCTTACGTATAATACTTTTTACTACGTTACTTACGTAATATATACCCTATATCCTACGTTACTGTAAACAAGTAGAAATTAAAGAATTCTAAAAATAAAAATTAAATTGTAATGTATGTTTTATTTATTATAGAGGACGAGGAAGGGGGGGGTCAAACAAAAATATAGATACTGAATTTGTAACAAACAATAATTGAAATTAATGAGTCTTGCAAGAAACGGAAATGAAACCAACCTCATTTCCAGATGACATTACGCCGCCCGCACTTTAACGTAGGTCTCAATTTGGTCTCAATCTTCTTCTGCGTTTCTCGTCGTACCCCCCTCATCTCTAGTTCAACATTGGTGGTCGCTCCGTGCGCGCGAGAGAGTGCTTTTGTATAAAACGAAGGTCAAATCTCGATGCTTCGCGTGATCGCGATCTTCAAACCATACTTTGACATGACCTACACACTGCGTGTGGTAAATCAGAAATCAAAATAAAATGAAAAAAAAGTCGTCTCCTTTTGAATTTTTGTTTAGATTGTAATTATGTACAAGGATAAAATAAAGGTATTTAAAATTAGAGAAAAATTTGGAAATTCATAATTGTCAAAAGCGTTTAGCTATCCATCCCTGTGGAAGGGATATTTTTATTTTCTTCGTTTGAATAATAATCAGTGATGGGTTGTGACGCGTCACACGAAGTTTTGTACGTATAATACGTTTTCGACGTAATTTACGTATAAATTGTATAAAGTCTTAAAATAAAATAGAAATGGTCAGAAAAAGTAAAAGAAAATCTTTTAAAGAGGGTCGCACGAAAAAAAAGCGTCCACCTCTACTCATAATACTTGTCATTTAAGAGCTTTGTTATTGTTTATAAAGTTTTTATTTAAAAAATGTTTATTTTGGGAGATACCAAACGACTAGACTGACAATATAATACTTAGAATATAGGTTATGTTATTATGCACGTGGCCCGGTGTTCACTCTTATCTGTGAAACCAACTTAGAAATAAAACCGATATAAAAACATTTCAATAATTAAAAATTTTGTTTTATAATTGTTAAAATAATTAATTATTACCTAAATTTTGTTTATATTAACAACTTTCTCTTTCAATAGTATAAAGTAATGAATGATGTATTTTAATGAAGAATTTAAAATTGCCGCTCTTAAATCAAGTGATCAAATGTAATATACATCGTGTAGAAAACTTGGCACGTAATATACGTAGTATTATACACGTAGAAAACCACGTATTATACGTACCCATCACTGATAATAATAATAATTTACAAACATATTTATGATATTCTGCTAAATTTGTCCAGATTATTTTTTTGATTTTGGTCCAGAGAACAAAAGAAAAGAATAAAGTATGAATGCACCCCAATTGTCATACGTTATTAGAAAATAATTCACGACCCATCCCTGACACTATTGGACTAAATTTGTATATAAAAAAAATTAAGGTGTGAATTCACCTTAATTGTTATAAATTATTTTTGAAAATACTTTATACTACCCATCCTTTACACTGGACTTAATTTGTCCACAAAAAAACAAGGTGTGAATACACCCTAATTGGCATATTATTATTTAGAAAATACTTAACTACTTATCCTTGACAATTAAACGAATTTTGTCCAATTTACGAATCAACATTGACACTGCTTTAAATTTGTCCAGTTTATTTATATATGCTTTGTCCAATACAAAAAAAAAACAAAAAGTGACCCAAACCTTATACTGGACAATTTTTAATTTTGTCCAGTTTATTCGTATGTTTTGTCCAATAAGACAAAATAATGACCCCAAACCTGACACTGGACAATTTTTAAATTTATCCAGTTTATTCGTATATGTTTTGTCCAATACAAAAAAATAAAGAGTGACCCAACCCTGATACTGGACAATTTTTAATTTGTCCACTTTACTTGTATATGTTTTATCCAATAAAACAAAAAAGTAGCGACCCAACCCTGACACTTAATGAAATAAAGTGAATAAATAAAAACAAAACAAGAATGAAGGTATTAATACTAATTATCAAAATAGAAATAATAATAATGGTAATAATAATAATAATAATACACGGAGAGACCGCCGGTTAGAAAAATTACTAAAAAAATTTACAAGTAGCGGAAATAAGGTTACATTGTCAAATATTGCTGTAGGAAATCGAAAATTCTACTAGCAGCATACTTAATAAAACTGTAGACTATAGTAATTTCTATTCCAATTTGTGTGCAATTTTACTATAGTATACAGGTTTTATTAAGTATGCTGCTAATAGAATTTTCGATTTCCTACAGCAATATATGACAAAGTAACCTTATTTCCGCTACTTGTAAATCTTTTTAGTAATTTTTCCAACCGGCGGTCTCTCCGTGTAATAATAATAATAATAAAACCAAAAGTAATAATAAATTTTCTATTCTATGAAAATAAAATAATAATAATAATAATAGTAATAATAATAATAATTATAAGGAAAAGTAATTTAAAAAAATTACAAGTAAAAAAATAATTGAAAAATAATAAATAAATAGAAATTTAAAAAACAAATTTCCAAAAAAAATCCAATTTTAAAAAAAAAATTCCTAAATTATTTAAAAATTCTCCAATTCACTGGGGTTTGTTAGTTTAATATCACGTCACTGATGGGGGCCGAATAGCGGTTCGGTGCGAAACCAACTGGGCAACTTCCATTCGGGCTTCGCTTTGGCTTTTCAGTTCATGTCCTCACTTCACGAAGGACAGTTCTATCCTCAATTTTTCTTCAAAAAAAAAAAACAACAAAAAATTCCCCATACAAAACGCGCGTTTCTTGTGTAAATTGTGAGGTGGTGTGTGTATTCCAAACAAAACAAAAAAAGGAGTGAAAAAACCAAAAAAAAATTCTCCCCCTTTTTCTGAAACGTTTAGCAAAAAATAAATTTAAAAAACCAGAAAATTAATAATCTCACCCAATTTAATTCCCTATTTGTAAATTTCGAAAAAAGGTACAAAAAAAAAATTGTTCAGTGGCTTTTGGTGGAAAAAAAAATTTACTATTTAATTAATTTTACGAATTTGAATTAGGGGGTTTAAAAATTGTTTTTTTTTTGGGAGTAAAAGAAAACGATTTGGAAAAAAAGGGTTTTTTTTTTTTTTTGGGTATTTTGAAAAGTGTTTCTGGTGGTGAATTTCTAAGTGTATATCAAGTTTTTTTTCAATATATATATGTAAAAGTATGTATATATAAATGTGTCTATCATCAGTGTATGTGTATGCACCTTTTGGTTGCATCGTTGTTTATAGCGTTGGGGGTTTTGCGCCTCTCTTCGTCCCGTCACTGGCATTGAAGAAGAGTGAGAGAGAGAAAAAGAGAGAAAGATAGATATATAGAAAGCAAGTGAGAGTGAGTGAGACAAAGAAGAGAAGAGAAGAAGAAGAAGCAAAAGCGAGAGGGAGTTGGTGAGTGTGCATGCGGGGCTAAAATGGCGCTCGCAGTCGTCCAAGCACCTCTATCGACCGTGACAAATAATTTAGCACTTGCTCTCACATAAACGAGCCACAAAAAAAAAAGAAAAAAATTCCCACCCCCCCTCAAATCCCTTTCGAAAGTGAATTTCTCATTAAAATCAGTGAATAAATGAAGAAAAATTCATCATTTCTGTGAATATTTTTTGATCTTCAAAATAAATTTTTTTGTTTTGTTTCAGTAAAAGTGCATTGGATTTCAGTGTTTTCAGTGTTTAAAAAAAATTGTTTTCATTTTTGTGAGGATATAGAAAAAAAAGGTGTGGAAAGTTCAATTGGATTTTTTGGAGTAGTGACAGGAATTTCCTTTTTTTCTGTGGAAGGGAGTAAATAAAAAAAGGTGAGTAAAAAAATATTTTTCAAATTAATTTCACTAGAAAATGTTGATTTGTGTTGGAAAATTTTTAATTTTTTTTTTGCAAGGAAAAAAATGGAATTTACTTACAAATGCTAATTGATGTTTGCTATTAGATCTAACAAAATTATTAACCACTGCTAAATTTTTTGCTTACGATGACAACGAAAAAGTTTGCTGTGATAAACTTTTTTTTTTTAATTTAGTGTGACAGCAAACTTTTTTTTGAACTCCATAGCAAAATTTGTTCGCTGTCCCTCTATATATATTAGCTGTATAATGTAATTTGATGTGATGGCAAATAATTCGCTGTCACAGCAAAATTTTTTATATTCTCTCTAATAATAATCTTAATAAGTGAAATTTCACTTAGAATTTTTCAAAATTCTTTCACTTTGAAAAATAAGTTAAAAATAAATTGCACTTAAAAAATTGATTTTCACTTATATATAATAAATGAAATTTCACTTATTTTTAAGTGCATATCCATACAAAGCACGACATCTTGCTGTGAGGTTCCTTTAAGGATATCTGTATTGGGTTTGTAAGGTTACTGTGTAAGCCTACAGTAAACTTGAGGTGATCTTAAAATTTCCGCCATTACAGTATAAGCTTACACAGAAAACCTAAGGTAAGCTTGCACAGTAAGGTTGTGGTAAGTTTACATGGTAAGGTTGTGGTAAGCTTACACGGTAAGGTTGTTGTAACCTTACGGGAAGCTTATACAACAACCTTACCGTGTAAGCTTACCACAACCTTACCATGTAAACTTACCACGACCTTACTGTGTAAGCTTACCTTAGCATTACTGCGTGTAAGCTTACTGTAATGGCGGAAGTTTTAAGATGACCTCAAGTTTACTGTAGACTTACACGGTAATCTTACAAACCCTACAGATATCCTTACAGTAACCTCACAGCAAGAATCCGTGCTGTGCAAAGAAAATTAAAAGGTATTAAAATAAGCTGCAATGCTTATTATTTTAATCCAATTTTGCTTATTTTAATATACCAAAATGAATTAAAATAAGCAATATTGGATTAAAATAATAAGCGTTGCTGATTATTTTAATGCCTTTTAATTTTAACCCACTTGGAAAGATTCCCCGGAAAGTGCCCCCTGGAGGTTCTATCAGAATTCCGCCGGAACTTTTAACGTAATTCCGTCGGAATTCCATCGGAGTTCCAAAGAATTTCCGATGGGATTCCCACGGAATTCCGATTAATTTTTTTTCAAAATTTTTAGAGTCCTAATTCCGTCGGAATTCCATTGGAATCCCATCGGAAATTCTTTGGAACTCCGATGGAATTCCGACGGAATTACGCTAGGAAGTTCCGGCAGAATTCTGATAGAACCTCCATGGGTCACTTTCCAAGTTGGTTCTGTGTGTAAGATAACTTACTTTTTCTACGTGGAAGAATTTTTGAAACATTCTAAGTAAAATTTCACTTATTCAGATTTAGAGAGTTGTTTACTAAAAAAAAAAAAAAAAAAAAAAAAAAAAAATAATTTTCGCTTCGTATTTATTCCAAGAATGAATTTGTTTTGATGTTCTACTTAGTGTCACATTTGGGAAAAATTTTTGTTTTGAAAAGATAAAAGATAATATTGTTGGCAAGCGTTAATTTTCGCTCTCGTTCTCTATTTGCAAGTTTCGACTGGTTTATTATTCTCTTTTGGGGGTTAGAAAAATTTTTTGTGAATAAAGTAAATTTTTTTTTTTTTTGTAACATTTTCTAATCTTTAGTTTTTATAAAAACGATATAAGGATTTTTTTTCAACACACACACACATATATATATATATATATATACATAGATATTTGCTCGTTGGGTAAATCCAAGAAGAAGTAAATAAACTGTGACAAATATTGATTTTAAACCCGAGATTTTCCTTGTCGAGCGGTAATTTTCAACTCTTGAAACGCAAAATTCAAGTTGAAAGCAAACATTTAAAAAAAAAAAGAAATTTTTTTTACAGTATTTCTTTTTTTTATTAAATTTAATTAACAATTAATTAATTAATTTTCTAATTAATTTAATTGTTAAAGTAAATAATAATAATAATTAGTTAAATTAATTTTTTAACTAATTTTCTTTATAATAAAATTTTTTTATTCTAATTAATAAAGAAATTTTAACAAAAAATTGAATTCATTTTTTAATTGATGATACAAGATGAAATTTTTTTTATTTTGCTGTTTTATGCAAAAAAAGATTTTAATTGCTTTTTAATTTTATTAAAGAAGAAAAAAGGTAAACATTTGTTTTTTGCTTATTGTTAATTTTTATTTCTTTTTCTGTTGACTTGACACAATTGTTTGTTTCGAAATATTTTATAGTTATGTTTCAAAATATTTTTAATTTTTTTTTGTTTTAAATAAATTTTAATTTTGTGCTCAAAACAATTTTCTGCTTGCATCAAAATTTATTTGTTGTCTCAAAACAAATATATTTTGATTGCTCAAATAAATGTATTTTTTGAAGTAAAAATTAATTTTTAAATCACCCAATAAATTTTGAGGCAAGCAGAAACATTTTTTTAATTTAACAAATAAATTTTGAGCAAAACATATATTTTTTCGATCCAACAAATAAATTTTGAGGCAAATAAAAAACTTTTTGAGACAAAAATTAGTTCTGAGACAAGGAAAACATTTTTTTTTTTTTTTTTTTTTTGAGTCGACACAAATATTTTAAGCCAAAAAATACCTTTTTTTGAGGCAAGAAAATGTATCTGTTAGTTCAAAAAATGTATATTTTGGCTCAAAATTTGTTGACTCAAAAATATATATATTCTCATTGTATCAAAATAAAATTTTGGCTCAAAAATATTTTATTGACTCAAAAAAACGTGTTTTTTTTGGCTCAAAAAGTTTTATATTTACCTTAAAATTTATATTTGTTGGCTCAAAAAAATGTTTTGATATTTTTAAAATTTATTTATTGTCTCAAAATCTTATTGTTTGTCTCAAAATGTATTTGTTGGTTCAAAATTTTGTTATACTCTCGCCTCAAATTATATATATAATTTCGTTAAAAAAAGCCGTTTTGAAATTTTTTTTTAGAAATCTAAATTTAATACATTAGGGTAAATGTCCCAATTACTGTGATGTACAACTAACCCAAGACCGCGACTTTAATGATAAAATAATAAAAGTGTAAATGAAATAATGATTTAATTCTTTTTGTTAAATCACTATTATAGTCTCTACTAAAATAGAAACGATACTTTAAACTTGAAGAAATAACAAATATATTATTATAAATATTAACTTTTTTAAAAATGTCATATGCTGGTATTACTGCAAGTTTGCATGAATTACTGCGCATGGTGTGCACCAGTTACTGCAACGCTAAAAATGTTGATTTAGAGGTTAGGTTGCGACTGGATAGACCACAGTAATAGCAGAATGCGAAAAATATACGCATGCTCTAATTACTGTGATAGGTTCAATTGTAACTTGAATAAATAATTTGATAATAGTCGAAATATGCATATCATTAGTGGATATAAATATCAAATATCATTTGGAATAAGTTTTAAAGTAATTTTGAAACAATTTTATTTTCTCAATTATTAAGTTTTACTAATTTTATAAAATTCGCAGTAATTGGCGCATCAGCAGTAATTCATATACTTACCCTATATTTATATATGAAAAATTGTAAAGATAAATTCCCCTATATATGGTAATTTGAGAAAATAAATACAAAAGGGTTTATCGACACTTTTTTTTTCTCAAAAAGTCCTTGTGCAAATATATTTTTAAAGTTTTTGATTATAAGAAGGGCAAATGTGGACGGCTGTGGGAAAAAAATAAGCAGGGGTTGATATATCTATATATATATATGTGTGTGTATTGAATAAAATTTCTCTTTTTGATATTTGATTATAGGAAAAAAAAAAAAAAGAATAGGGTGGATTTTCATTAATTACCTCCGTTCACGTGGCACGTCGTTTTAACTTTGCGATTATTTGACTTGACGAATAGCACGTGTGACTGCCCCTTTAATAATAAAGCTCAGTCTCTTCTCGAAGATCGTATCGAAGTCAATGACCATTTTATGATGGCATGTCTCATTCTCCCCCCCTCTCTCTCTCTTTTTTTTTGCCTAATATTTAATAAAAAAAAACATTGCAAAAATGAGAATTTTTCTAAATATTACACTATTTTTATATGTATTTTCCTCTTAAAATGAGAATATTGAAAAAAAAGACAAATTTCCTCTCGAATTAAGAGGAAATTGATTAATTTATTAGTTTTAATTATTTTTTTTTACAATGAAAATTGTTTCTTTATATCCCACTTGGAAATAGTCCCCGGAAATTGCCCCCTGGATTACTTTTTTTCAAAATTTTTAGAGTCCTAATTCCGTCGGAATTCCATCGGAGTTCAAAAAGAATTTCCAATGGGATTCCGCCGGAGTTCCGCCAGAATTCCGATTAATTTTTTTTTCAAAATTTTGAGAGTCCTAATTCCGTCGGAATCCCATCGGAAATTCTTTGGAACTCCAATGGAATTCCGACGGAATTAAGTTGGAAGTTCCGGTGGAATTCTGATAGAACCACCAGGGTGCACTTTCCGGGGAATCTTTCCAAATGTGATACAATAGTTTATTTCCTCTAGAAATGAGAGGATTTTTCTAAAATATATAACAATAATTTTCAATAATTAAAAAAAAAAAATTTAATTCCTCTAGTATTGAGAATAATTATTAAAATTTTATAACCTTCTTTTTTTTAATAATTAATTCAATAAATTTCGCTATGATGATTTTTTTAAGTATACAAAAAAAATACAAAGGGGGGTGGGGGACTTGTCATCGAATAAATCATTAACAAAACTTGGAAGTAAATAAATAAAAAAAATAATAATAATAATATCCTACAGCGATGATAAGATTAAAGAGTCGTATATTTGGGATTATAAGAAAAATTGAATGGTTGTGGGTGGACATGGATATTATAAAGTGAAGAGGGAT